AACCAATAAACTCGTGGGAAGAATTAAAAGAGGCGGTTATCAACCGTTTCCGTAGATTTAACAGCGATGGGGAAATTCAACGACAAATAATGGATCGCCGTCAGCACCCACAGGAACTCTTCGAGGATTTCTATAATGCAGTCCTACGCTTAAGAAGTCAACAGAGCAATCCCATCGGTGAAAATGAACTGATTGATATAATGAAAACCAATTTACGCACTCCCATGGCACAACTGGTATTCCCAATTCGTATCTTTGGCCTTAGTCATTTCCGCACCGAGTGCAAAAAGGCGGAATCATTGTTACAAACTCAACGCCAATCTTATAGTAATCGACAGTTTGCTCCAAGGGTACATGAATTAGATTATGACGAATCGGCGCCAGCTGAAGTGGATTTAGACGCAATAAATAGTTCCACAAGATACGTGTGTTGGAACTGTCGTCAACCAGGCCATGGATACATGGACTGTCCATCAGCCACTAGGCGTCTGTTTTGTTTCAAGTGTGGTATGGAAAACACAGTAACGCCGAAATGTCCACGATGCACGGGAAACAGGCGAACGGACCCGCTAACAACTGGGGAGCAGCGTCCGAATCACCCAGCCCAGTGAGCAAACTGGAGAATATAAACGGTCTAGAGAAGAAGGAGGGGATCGTTAGCATTTTAAATAATAATGTTAGGTTAAGTAAGAAAACAGGAGAGTTAAGAATTAGGGAAATAAAATCATGGCACTTGAGGGTTAAGGAGTATAAGGAAGCTAGGAAGAGAATCTTCGGAAAAACTCGGATAGAAAAGGCTAGGGAACGGTATAGGAAAAGGAAAGAGCTTAGGCGTGAGATCGCGAATGTATGTTTATACGAAGGCGAAGATACCCGACTGTATACCCGTATCTCTATTAATGGAATAGAGATTGAGGGTCTTCTAGACAGCGGAGCTACGGTTACGGTTCTCGGCGAAGGATGCTTCGATGTCGCAAGAAAAGCGGGTGTAGTAGTTCATCAATTTCCTTCTACGGTGCGAACAGCAGACGGTAGAACTCATACAATTCAAGGTCGGTTTAAAGTGAGGATAAAGTACAACCGGAAAGAAAGTGACATCACTTTTTATCTGGTACCGACCTTGAAAAGGGCGTTGTTTCTGGGCGTCGATTTTATGAAAGTATTCGGACTGATAGTCAACTTGGATAGCTTGACCACAAATGATATGCTGTGGAGCGAGGAGTCGGGCGAAAATCCGACAAATCCTTCTAAGCATACCCTTTGTGATCAGGACAGGATGTTACTAGAAGCAACCATAGCCAAGTTTCCATCTTTTGTGGAAAAAGGACTTGGGAAAACCGACTTGGAGACACATCACATTGATACGCAAGACGCAGAGCCTGTAAAGCAGAGACATTACCCAGTCTCACCTGCTGGGCAAAAACTTATATACGCGGAATTGGATAGGATGCTTGCTATGGGTGTAATTGAGACGAGTCAAAGCCCCTGGAATAATCCAGTGACGTTAGTGCGTAAAGGTACAAAAAACAGGCTTTGTTTAGACGCCCGAAAGCTCAATTCACTCACAGTCAAGGATGCCTATCCACTTCCGCATATAGAAGGATTGCTCAGCAGACTGGGTGACACGCACTATATATCTAGTGTGGATTTGAAAGACGCATTCTGGCAAATCCCTCTAGATATACAGAGTCGTGAAAAAACTGCCTTTACAGTGCCCGGAAGACCACTTTACCATTTTACGGTCATGCCTTTTGGTCTGTGTAATGCAGCTCAAAGGCTATGTCGTTTAATGGATAAAGTGATTCCGTCCGAATTGCGAGATCGAGTGTTTGTGTATTTGGACGATTTGCTCATAGTTACGCCTGATTACCACACGCACATAAACATACTTGAGCGTGTTGCGAAGTTGCTTTCTAATGCCAAGTTGACTATCAATGTCGAAAAATCGCAGTTTTGTTTTAAGGAACTTCGGTATCTTGGATATATTGTTGGAGAGGGCAAGTTGAAACCTGATCCTGCGAAAATATCCTCGATACTCGATTTTCCTTATCCCAAGACGCCCAGACAAGTGCGCGGTTTTATGGGAACTACCGGCTGGTATCGCCGCTTCATTAAGGACTACGCTACCATTGCTAACCCGATTTTCGAAACGCTGAAAAAATCTAAAACGTTCGTTTTCCCCGAAGAAGCAAAAAAGGCTTTTGATAAGTTGAAAGTAGCCCTTACCTCGAGTCCGGTATTACGACATCCGGATTTTTCGAAGCCATTTTATGTCCAATGCGACGCTTCTGACATTGGCATCGGGTCGGTTCTTTTTCAAAAGGATGAAATCGAGGGCGAACATCCAATTGCTTTCATGTCGCAAAAATTAACATCAGCGCAACGAAACTACTCGGTTACGGAACGAGAGTGTCTGGCAGTAGTTATGGCTATAAAAAAATTTCGGGCATATATTGAACTAATGGCTTTTACAGTCATTACGGACCATTCCAGTCTAAAATGGCTGATGTCCAATAAAGAATTAAGTGGAAGATTAGCCCGATGGAGTCTGCTACTACAGTCCTATACGTTCAACATTGAACACCGCCAAGGGAGCAAGAATATAGTGCCAGATACTCTCTCACGTTACGACATGGAGGAAATTGCCGCCGATGTCTCGCAACTGATCGATTTGGATGCTCCGCCTTTTTCGTCGGGAGAATATCAAGAATTACTGTCGCAAATTAAGGAGAATCAAGAGCAGTTACCCGATTTAAGAATAGAAGATAACTATATATATAAACGAACCACGCATTACAACGGTGACGTTCTTACAGAAGATTTTTCTTGGAAACTATGGGTCCCCGCGGAGTTATCCAAGGACATTATTAGAAAAGCACATAATCCTCCGACTGCAAGTCATGGTGGTTTCCACAAAACTCTCAAAAGGATAAGAGAATACTTTTTCTGGCCGAATATGACTATCGAAGTAAGAGACTATGTGAGGAATTGTGAAATCTGTAAGGAAAGCAAACCTTGTAATCAAGTTGTAAGACCACCAATGAATGAGAACCTACCGGAAATAGTGCGTCCGTTTCAGAAGATTTATATAGACTTTTTAGGCCCGTATGTTCGATCTAAGTCCGGAAATTGTTTCATTTTTATTGTTTTAGATCACTTTACAAAGTTCGTACTCCTGAAGGCCATGTCCAAGGCAAATAATAAGAACGTAGTTCGTTTTTTAGTTTCGGAAGTTTTCCATAAATTTGGCGTCCCAGAGGTAGTTCTATCCGATAATGGGAGTCAATTTCTGTCCAAAGAATTTGCAGACATGATGAAACTGTTTGGTATCAAGCACATGAGAACAGCTATATATTCACCTCAAGCAAATGCATCGGAGAGAGTCAACCAATCGATCTTAGCCGCAATAAGATCCTACTTGAAGAGTGACCAGAGAGATTGGGATAACCATCTTTCAGAAATAGAGTGTGCACTCAGGTCATCAGTGCACACATCGATTGGTATGACTCCCTACTTTGCGTTGTTTGGGACGAATATGATAACTCACGGTAGCGTTTATAATTTGGCAAGAAAACTCGAACTACTGGAGGATGCCGAGATGAACGTCTTAGCTAAAACGGAAAAACACGAGTTGATACGCGAGAAAATTCGAATGAATCTGGCGAAAAGTTACGCCACTCGTGCGAAGGAATATAATAAACGTGCACGCAAAATTAATTTTCGACCAGGTCAGGAAGTGTTCCGCCGGAATTTTGCACTTAGCGACTCGAGTAAATTATATAACGCTAAAATGGGTAGGAAATTTGTTAAATGTCGTATTGTTCGTCCGGTCGGGAATTGTTACTATGAACTAGAAGACCTGCAGGGTAAACTAATCGGGATCTACCACGCAAAAGACCTTAAACAATGAGCACCTACCTTTTTCTAAACCTTACCAGTTTTTTTTTTGCCATCGTTGTCCGAAAAGTTTGTTCCTAGACCAACCTCTATAGTCTGCCTCGAAATTGCTATGATTAATTCCTTAATACTTCCCAATACTCCCTGTATTCGCTGCCTATGACATTTTTTTTTAATTATAGTTTTTCTTTTTAATTCTTTTTATTTAGGATAAGTTCCCAATGGAAGAGGGAAATGGATTGTTAATTTTTTTTTAATCTAATTTAGTAGTTTAGATTGAATTCCATTTACATATTTTTTTTTTTCCTTTCAATATTTTTTTATTATTATTAGATTACATATGAAATAATAAACCAGTTCGGTAGCTTAGGTTATACTCTTAATGAATTGATGTTTATATTGATTAATTTAGAATTTATCGGATATATATTCTTCCTTTTTATTTTTGCTTAGTTTTAGCTTTAGTAATTTGTAATCAATCATGAACATAAATCTAACTTAAGTTTGTTCTGTATATATGTAGTTTAGTTTTTGAGGAATGGAGTAAAGCAAAAGAACTAAATACCAATAACCTGATACCGATGACGTTTTTTTTTTTTTTTTTTTTTTTTTTTGTTTAACACATTCAATTGAAATACTTAAGTAGTAGGGTATATATATTTGAAATGGATATTCATCGTTTTGTCACACCAAGAGCTAACATTTCTAAACTAGTTACATTTTGTAACTGTCATTGTGCCAATAGTGCATCTCCGTTTAGTGCTAACGAAACTATGACATCTAGACACTGGGAGACGTTAGTCACCTAACACAATAACGCAATCTGAGTCTGATCTTACAGCAAGTGTGAACAAATTAGACGAAGCGAATCAACTAGTATATCCTCGGAAACACATAGTTGAATATATATTGTAATCAATAACACAACTACTAGGTTCTTTTCAATTGAAATGGTTAAGAAAAAAAAAAAGGAAAAAAAAAGACATCATAGGTTCAATGATATCCTTATTATGTTATCGAGATGTGGGTGAAACTAAACAATGTTCTAAACTATTGACAATAATTCTAAAATTGTAAAGAGAAAACAGAAAACTCTTACTTACCGATCGTGTTGAATTCACCTCTGAGTACAAATCTTATCAAGTCTCCTATTCTTAAGGGAAATCTGGAGAATGTGTAGGAGAAAAAGGGATTAGAAAATGTTTTCTGGGAGAGTAGAGTTAAATTACTTACGATATAAATTCATGAACAACCAACACCGTAGTAGTTTCAGAGTGAATTCTTTCAAAACTGAATTCTTCATGTTGAATCTCTTTGCTAAGTAAAAAGAAAAAATGAAAATTAATATTAGTGAAGATCAAATTAATCTTGGTTGAATATAGTTAGTATATGGATTATTATTTCAACAGCAAAATATTTCTATGTTTATCAATTTTTTTTTAATAATTTTTTTTCTTGATTAGTATAATAAAAATTAAAAATAACTATTATTTTTGATTTTTATTATATTGAATATACTTACTCGGCAATATTTATTTGGTCAAACAATAAATAGAAAATAAAAATAATAGAATATAAAAATCACCTAATCGCAAAATGTCGTTAAACTTTATAGGTTGAAATTTTTGGCATAAATTGTTTTTTTTGAAACTTAATTTCGAATATTTCTATATAAAATTGTATTATCATCAGGTGTAGGTATAACTCCCAAATTTCAGCTAATTCGGCCAGAAACTATTTTATTGACTAGGAGATTATTTTAAAAGTATATGATTTTGTTTTGTCGAATTTTGGAACTAAATTTCGAATACAATATTGTATTGTCATCATATGTAGGCATAACTGTTGAAAATTCTAACATTTAACCGAAATTCGAATTGTTAACCACATTTTGTAGTATTTTACCTACTCTTAGATTAAATTCGTTTATTGGAAAGGAAATCCCATATTGATGCCTATAATTTATTTTAAAATATAAAAGCCATTGTCTGATTCCTATTTTTGCTTTCTGATTTGAAGGTTATTTGTGTTTTTTGTTATTGATTTTTATTTGAAAAGCCCTTTTTACATTACAATACTTTGTATTGATATCATAGTTATTTTCTTATACAAAATCCAATCGATTGTCAGTGAATATTAAAAAAAAAAAATTTTTATGTATTATAAAAAAAAATATTTTTGGTTCATTTTACAATTCAAATGGGTTATGAAGAAAATGCTGATGGAGAATAAAGGAAAATTGAATAACAAATAAATCCAAAGGAAATCTGTAGACAATTGTGTATTTTGTAAAATAAGGGAAATTGAAAAATTTTCAAAACCACAATACATTTGAGACTACAAAATATTTTTGATTTTTTATATTACAATACATTTTCAAAAAATCTATGTATTAATACAAAATCAGTTAGTGTTATGGAAAATATTAAAAACTACAAATCTAAACTAATTAGTGTTTGTAGGAAGTGAAATGTAATTTTGGAAAATAATTTTTAGATATGAAGGGAAGGGAAAAAACATGAATTTTCGGACATTCTTGGGAATATTGAAAATATATGGAAAGATTGTGTCAAAAGTCTTCATATTTATTTCACAATTTCTCCAATCATTAAAACTCATATTGTAGATTTTTTTTAATATAATCTTATTATATTAAATCTGTGGTAAAAAGGGAAAAGTGCATAAGTTGTTTTTTTTACAGTTTTCAGGAGAGCATTTTTTAAACTTTGAATGTGAATACAAGATCAGAGATTTAAATTTTTCATAAAATCCTTATGTAAATATCTCAAGAATTATTACGAAAATAATTCACATGATATATTTGGTTGATATATATTACCATCAACGAAAAATTGGCTAAAAACTATTGGTGTTGTTTTTCATTTCGTTGGAAAAATGAAAAAAAAAAGGGAAAATTTAAAATCCGAAATATATCTCTAGTCATAATTTTATTAGAAAAATTATTTTATTAGGTTTTTTTGTTTATATCGAGATAGGTGTATTTTCCATTTCAATTTATGTATTCAGCAACTTTTTTCAATTTGTTAAAAGTACATAAGTATCTCAAAATAGGTTATAGAATTTATATTTAATAATTTAGAAGAACAACATATTTTGAATTAATACAGAATAAATTTTGTTGTAAAATACAGGAAAACATCATAATTCAAATATGTAATTGAAATTTTATGGAAAATATTTGATATGAAAATAAGGAAAAAAACTTAGGTAAATTAATGTTGTTTTGTAATTTATGAAATTTTGAAAAAGGAAAGGGAAAATAGACTTATGCTGTCATAACACGTCCACAACTGCTAAAGTAATGGGCAGAATTTTACCAAAAGTTGATACAAGATGGAATGAAGTACGGCAATTCCAATTAACTGAAGGGAAAAAAGAAAAGTTTTTAGCATAACTTGAGATATTCACTTTTTCATTTTTGCCACAGAAATATATTACATTTGCTTTTGTTATATAAAACTAGTTCCCAAAACCCGTAATGTATAACATCTCATTTGAACATACTTGAAAACAAATTTGCAAGACATTTTCAAGAAAATCTAGTTAATTTTATTCGATTTCAACAATATTTCCCAATATTTAAGAACTTTACCGAAGAAGTACAAAAGAAAGTCGTAGAGTCGACTTTTGTTTCAACTACAAACTCTGAAAAGGGTGGGAAAACGCTTAATAGGCAACACTGCATATAAGGCAATGGAAAAAGTCGTATGTTCGAGTTTTTTTTTAGAAAAGTCGTAATGTCAACGTTTAGGACGCTAATATTTACCTCTCTTATGACAATTTACTGATGGTTCGGGAACATGAACACGGGCACCTCTTATCTGGAACATTTCTAGATTTTTTTATATAACTTATTGGCACTGATGATATTTTTTTTTTTTGGCTGCATAGAAACAAAAGATGAATTTTTGGAGAACACATTGCTTATATAAGGTGATACTGTTACGTTTGAACAGCCACCATTTTTAATTTACACCAAAGCTTTTTTGTTTTAAATTTCCAAAAATTTATCTTTTGTCATGCTAGATGATTATTACTCACTTGCACAATATTTTTTATATGATTTCACTATTGTTATTTTTTTTATTTTTCACTTATAATTTTGTTTTTTTTTTTAATTTAAAATTTGTATATTTATATTGCTTTTTTATTGTTCCTTTTTTTTTATTGTCTTCTGCACAAACAAATAAAAACGTTAATGAGTTGCCAGACAGAATTACCATGTAATGGTGAGGCCAGTACGCACCGAATCAAAGATGCGGAAAGATATGGGGATGCCAGATTTTAGGGTAACTTAGGGTGTAAAATATGCAAACCCAAATATTATAGGACAATAGGGTTTCCCCTCCCATTCACTTTACACAGAGGCAAAGATAATGGTGGGGTTTGACGTGTTCCCCCTGAACGGGTTAAGGTTGCATTCTATTGTAAGAAGAAGAAGACAAAAACATAGAATTACAATAGAATGCAACCTTGGAAACAGATGTTCAGGGGGGGAATTACTGAAGGTCAGATGGAGGAGATAGAAAAAAAAAGATGGCGAAGGATAAAGAAAAATGGCGGGAGAAAATGATTCGAAGAATTTTTGGGAGGAAGAAGAAGAAGAGAAGTTTTTTTTTTTTTTGGGAATCGAGGAGGCGAATGAGGGAGGACGGTGGTTCCGGAAGCCTATAAGTTTTTTTTTGAATTGAAAAAAAAAAAATAAATGAAGAAGATAAAAAAAAAAGACAATATACGGTTTAACAAAACATATATTTAAAACAAAACATACATTGATTTAAAAAAAAAAAAAAAAAAATTTGATTCACAACAAAACATTTACTTAAAACAAAACATATACATATATGAAACAAAATATATAAAACACAAAGTTAACACAAAAAAAAAAATCATAAAGTTAACATAAAATTGAGTGAATTTGGTACAAAACAAATAAAGCATCGACATAAAAAAAAAGGAAATATATACAATACAAAGTGAACACGCTACACCAATAATAAAATATTTCTCCACAAATACAATTTACATCTAAAACAAAATTCCTACACCTAGAGTGGACATTTCGGACGACAATCGGACGAAACTAGAGACCATACCACCCATAAGGGAAATTTAATGGTTATACCTTTTTTTTTTGGGAAACATAGATATTTGGTTTTTTTGTCGCCAAAATCTAAGGGCCACTGTTGCCTTGGTAACTGATACTTAAACTGAGCTCAGGTTAGGGATAGTTTAGAGTCTTTTACCCAGTGTACCCCATTAAACTTTCCGCACGGACTGATTTTACGAGGACAGACCTAGACCAACGACAACTGGACTTCTAAACTCCACGGTATGTGGATTCTGTTCCCGATGGTAACCTATTAGTTTCAAGGAGAATTATGGAGATGGTGTGAATAATACGAGGTAAGTGAGAACTTAAAATCTGACTGTAGGGGTAGTGTTAGGGGCAAATTCTATTTAAATTGGCCAAAGATTTGCCATGGTAGAGGGAGGGCAGGCCAAGCAGCACAACATCCGCTGCAGACCAGTAGGTATAACGTCGCGATGCCTAGTAATTAGGTATAAAAAGTAGAAAACTAAATTGATCAAAACTGAGGAGGAAATTTTTTATTACATTTTTTTTGTTCGAGAACTCTGTGGGGAATATGATGGTGAACCCTACGACACCTCTACCGGCTATAGTCGAGCCTTACCACCTGGTCTTGTACCGAAGAGCGTTGCCATCATGTTTCCCACCGGTTTGCCACCAGGAGTCCCTGACATGTTCTAGTTCTGTTCTAGTTCTGTTCTAGTTCTGTTCAGTTCTGTTCTAGTTCTGTTCTAGTTCTGTTCTAGTTCTGTTCTAGTTCGGTTCTAGTACTGTTGTAGTTCTGTTCTAGTTCTATTTAGTTCTATTTTAGTTCTGTTCTTGTTCTGTTCTAGTTCTGTTCTAGTTCTGTTCTATTCTGTTCTAGTTCTGTTCTAGTTCGTTTCTAGTTCTGTTCTAGTTCTGTTCTAGTTCTGTTCTAGTTCTGTTCTAGTTCTGTTCTAGTTCTGTTCTAGTTTCTGTTCTAGTTCTGTTCTAGTTCTGTTCTAGTTCTGTTCTAGTTCTGTTCTAGTTCTGTTCTAGTTCTGTTCTAGTTCTGTTCTAGTTCTGTTCTAGTTCTGTTCTAGTTCTGTTCTAGTTCTGTTCTAGTTCTGTTCTAGTTCTATGTTCTAGTCGTTCTAGTTCTAGTTCAGTTTCTGTTCCTAGTTCTGTTTCTAGTTCTGTTCTAGTTTCTGTTCTAGGTTCTGTTCTAGTTCTGTTCTAGTTCTGTTCTAGTTCTGGTCTGTTCTAGTTCTGTTCTAGTTCTGTTCTAGTTCTGTTCTAGTTCTGTTCTAGTTCTGTTCTAGTTCTGTTCTAGTTCTGTTCTAGTTCTGTTCTAGTTCTGTTCTAGTTCTGTTCTAGTTCTGTTCTAGTTCTGTTCTAGTTCTGTTCTAGTTCTGTTCTAGTTCTGTTCTAGTTCTGTTCTAGTTCTGTTCTAGTTCTGTTCTAATTCTGTTCTAGTTCTGTTCTAGTTCGTTCTAGTTCTAGTTCTGTTCTAGTTCTGTTCTAGTTCTGTTCTAGTTCTGTTCTAGTTCTGTTCTAGTTCTGTTCTAGTTCTGTTCTAGTTCTGTTCTAGTTCTGTTCTAGTTCTGTTCTAGTTCTGTTCTAGTTCTGTTCTAGTTCTGTTCTAGTTCTGTTCTAGTTCTGTTCTAGTTCTGTTCTAGTTCTGTTCTAGTTCTGTTCAGTTCTGTTCTAGTTTTGTTCTAGTTCTGTTCTAGTTCTGTTCTAGTTCTGTTCTAGTTCTGTTCTAGTTCTGTTCTAGTCTGTTCTAGTTCTGTTCTAGTTCTGTTCTAGTTCTGTTCTAGTTCTGTTCTAGTTCTGTTCTAGTTCTGTAGTTCTGTTCTAGTTCTGTTCTAGTTCTGTTCTAGTTCTGTTCTAGTTCTGTTCTAGTTCTGTTCTAGTTCTGTTCTAGTTCTGTTCTAGTTCTGTTCTAGTTCTGTTCTAGTTCTATTCTAGTTCTGTTCTAGTTCTGTTCTAGTTCTGTTCTAGTTCTGTTCTAGTTCTGTTCTAGTTCTGTTCTAGTTCTGTTCTAGTTCTGTTCTAGTTCTGTTCTAGTTCTGTTCTAGTTCTGTTCTAGTTCTGTTCTAGTTCTGTTCTAGTTCTGTTCTAGTTCTGTTCTAGTTCTGTTCTAGTTCTTTTCTGGTTCTGTTCTAATTCTGTTCTAGTTCTGTTCTAGTTCTGATCTGGTTCTGTTCTAGTTCTGTTCTAGTTCTGTTCTAGTTCTGTTCTAGTTCTGTTCTAGTTCTTTTCTGGTTCTGTTCTAGTTCTGTTCTAGTTCTGTTCTAGTTCTGTTCTAGTTCTGTTCTAGTTCTGTTCTAGTTCTGTTCTAGTTCTGTTCTAGTTCTGTTCTAGTTATGTTCTAGTTCTGTCCTAGTTCTGTTCTAGTTCTGTTCTAGTTCTGTTCTAGTTCTGTTCTAGTTCTGTTCTAGTTCTGTTCTAGTTCTGTTCTAGTTCTGTTCTAGTTCTGTTCTAGTTCTGTCTAGTTCTGTTCTAGTTCTGTTCTAGTTCTGTTCTAGTTCTGTTCTAGTTCTGTTCTTCTGTTCTAGTTCTGTTCTAGTCTGTTCTAGTTCTGTTCTAGTTCTGTTCCAGTTCTGTTTAGTTTGTTTGTTCTAGTTCTGTTCTAGTTCTGTTCTAGTTCTGTTCTAGTTCTGTTCTAGTTCTTCTAGTTCTGTTCTAGTTCTGTTCTAGTTCTGTTAGTTCTGTTCTAGTTCTGTTCTAGTTCTGTTCTAGTTCTGTTCTAGTGTTTGTTCTAGTTTGTTCTAGTTCTGTTCTAGTTCTGTTCTAGTTCTGTTCTAGTTCTGTTCTAGTTCTGTTCTAGTTCTGTTCTAGTTCTGTTCTAGTTCTGTTCTAGTTCTGTTCTAGTTCTGTTTCTAGTTCTGTTCTAGTTCTGTTCTAGTTCTGTTCTAGTTTTGTTCTAATTCTGTTCTAGTTCTGTTCTAGTTCTGTTCTAGTTCTGTTCTAGTTCTGTACCAATTTTTGTTCTGATTCTGTAGTTCTGTTCTAGTTCAGTTCTATTTTAGTTCCAGTTCAGTTCTAGTTCATTTCCAAAGTTATTAATATAAAACCACTGTAACCTTAAAACCAAAGATTTTTGTCTTGTATATGAAAAATCATATAAAAAAGATCTATTCAAAGTACACAAGTTAAAGAAGAGGCGTGACAAAAATTGCGATACATACCCCAAGATGAAAAGTAAATAAAGTCAAAATAGCACAAGAATCAAAAAATATAAGAAGTTATGTACATATACATATACACATAAAAAAGTATCATGGTTTATAGTTACATAGATTCTTTGGAAATAAAAGGAAAGAGAATATTTATTGTTTTTTTTTTTTTTCTTCCTTTATGCCAAAGAATCCTGCTGATAGGGGTTGATTTACTGACTCGAAGGCAGAAAATGACTTGGGTATTGTTATTGTTGTAAGTGATATTTTATATGTTGAAATAAATATAAATAACTAATTATTATTTATTTAGAGAAAACAAGGATTTAATGAAGTGATTAAGAAGTAGGTGTTTAGAAGTTAAGTTGTAGAAATTATAATTTTTAAATTACTATTCACTTTAATTTTTTAAAATTTCTTAAATCATTTGCAAAAAACTGTTTAACTTAACCCAACCTTTCAATTGATTTTTTAATCTCTTACCAGGAGTTTTTTTATTTGTGCTCTTACATTTTCCATGTGATGTAGCATAAAACTTTACTGTGTGGTTATATTAACCAGTAAGGATGCAAAGTCATTTAAGAATCCTCTGCACTCGTTATGCTCGTAAAAAAGGCAGAAAAAATTAAAAAAGTAACGTTTCCATACAATCCAGCTAGCAAGCAGCAGACATTCCCAAAAAAAGTGTATACAGATAACAAAAAGCCAATTTACTACTACGCTCATTTCCCTAACATACTAACTGCTAACACACCCCACTACTCCACACAGCCCCTTCCTTGTGTAATTCCTTAATATACTCGTAAACACATCCTGGTATCCTTTCCTCACATTTGATTGTATACCATTACAGTCAAACGAATTTGTGGCATCAAAAAGTCGCTTTTTTATTATGGTTCTTAATATCTGGTTATACAAGGACTCATTCCACTTTAACTTCTCTTCATATGTATATGTCAGACTTACCTATACTATCAAACTCTTGGGCTCAATGTATTGGTTGCAAAAACTCCACCCTTTTTGTAGCGTCCATTTTTTAAAAATGTTCGTCACATGCGCATTAGAAAGTGGTGAATTATTTGTATATAATTCCTCTCTTTTTCTCTCTGTCTCATTGTCATTCTGCTACAAATCTCTCTCTTTTGACTTTTAACTATAGAGAGGGAGAGTGTGATGTGTAGGTTGCTTGTATTGAAATAACGGTAATGTTATATTACTGATAACAGCTGATTTGTTTTAACTTTTTGATTTGTTTGGGTATTAAAGTCACGTGATTGACTTTTACATACATACATACAGCACATATGTATGTACTGAGAGACAGTGGGTTAAAATTGTTATTGAAACTAAAATATAGAATTTCGAAGAAGAAATTCAAGCTCCTTATTTGTCTTACTAGAGTGAAAAGTTTAAACATCTATTTCATTTATATTGATTGTAGTAAAATAACTCAAAATATTTTGTTAAGAAAATTGCAGGTTTTCGTGCAAAATAAATGAAAATCTTTATATGTGCCAACGACAAAGGACAAGTATGCTTTTCTAAAGGATTGGGCTCCACTGTTCGATTCCTAACAACAACTCACTGAAGGAGGGCACAACAGCCCGATAATGGTCTATGTAAACTGAACTTGAACTGAACTGACCTAGAACTGAACTAGAACTGAATTAGAACTGAATTAGAACTGAACTAGAACTGAACTAGAACTGAACTAGAACTGACTAGAACTGAACTAGAACTGAACTAGAACTGAAATAGAACTGAACTAGAACTGAAGTAAATGAACTAGAACTGAACTAGAACTGAAACTAGAACTGAACTAGAACTGAACTAGAACTGAACTAGAAACTGAACTAGAACTGAACTAGAACTGAACTAGAAACTGAACTAGAACTGAACTAGAACTGAACTAGAACTGAACTAGAACTGAACTAGAACTGAACTAGAACTGAACTAGAAACTGAACTAGAACTGAATTAGAACTGAACTAGAACTGAACTAGAACTGAACTAGAACTAGAACTGAACTAGAACTGAACTAGAACTGAACTAGAACTGAACTAGAACTGAACCAGAACTGAACTAGAAACTGAAGAGAAACTGAACTAGAACTAGAACTGAACTAGAACTGAACTAGAAAGAACGGAACTAGAACTGAACGAGAAGAAAGAGAACTGAACTAGAACTGACTAAGAAAACGGAAACGAGAACTGAACGAACTGAACGAGAACTGAACTAGAAACGGAACGAGAACGGAACGAGAACGGAACGGAACGGAAGAGAAACGAGAAACGAGAACGAGAACGAACGAACGAACGAACGAACGAACGAAGAACGAACGAACGAACGAACGAACGAAACGAACGAACGAACGAACAACGAAAACGAACGAACGAACGAAACGAACAAAACGAAAACGAACGAACGAACGAACGAACGAACGAAACGAACGAAGAACGAACGAACGAACGAACGAAAGACGAACGAACGAACAAACGAACGAACGAAAGACCGAAACGAACGAACGAACGAACGAACGAACGAACGAACGAACAACGAACGAAGAAACGAACGAACGAACGAACGAAACGAACGAACGAAACGAACGAACGAACGAACGAACGAACGAACGAACGAACGAACGAACGAACGAACGAACGAACGAACGAAACGAACGAAAAACGAACGAACGAAACGAACGAAACGAACGAACGAACGAAGAACGAACGAACGAACGAAACGAACGAAACGAACGAAAACGAACGAACGAACGAACGAACGAAAGAACGAACGAACGAACTAACGAACTAACGAACGAACTAACGAACGAACTAACTAACGAACGAAGAACTACGAACGAAACGAACGAACGAACGAACGAACTAAAAAAACTAACTAACTAAACTAAACTAACTAACTAACTAACTAACTACTAACTAACTAACTAAACTAACTAACTAACAAAACTACGACTAACTAACTAACTAACTAACTACTAACTAACTAACTACTAACTAACTAACTAACTAACTAACTAACTAACTAAAACTAATCCCTCTAAAGACCCGTATATGGACTATGAACCAGTCGATTAACTATTTAATGCACCAGTCGATTGTCTATTACGTGGACTAGTAGATTGACTATTTTTTGGCCTAGTCGGTTGACTATTCTATACATTTGTCGTTTCTAATGTCTGTCGACTACACTGTTGACAAATCTATGGACTAGTATATAAATATAGCGGACATGGCTTAATTCGATTCGATCAGATTCAGGGAGCTTAATTTACTTAAAGTTTTCTTTGCAGTAGATAATATTTATTTAAACTAATTACTTAATATTTTATTTGTTACTTCTTATTTAAAGCTTTGTTTTGTTAAAAAAAAATGTGTTCGACTAAATGTTGTAGACATAAAATCACCAAAACGTTCCACAAACATTAAGACCAAATTCTCTTAATTTTCTTCATCTTTTGGTATGGGTTTAACTAAATGTGTAAAAATACAATAAAATCTTTTCATACTCTACATTAAGGACAAAAATACAGGACATTAAAACAACTGATAAATCCTCGACAAACAAAAGATTTTTAAAAACAGAACAGTTAACAAAAATTAATGGCCGTTTTTTTAGGGAAAACAATTTTTTTAACATTTAAATGTAGCCTTACAATTGTTTTGGTTTCAGCTTAGTTTATTTTTGAAATATACACAGAGAAAAATTGTAGATAATTTTAAAATAATTTTGAATTGGTTCAAAGAAAAAAATTGATTCTCGGCGTTTTATTGCTATTCAACTAAAACAGTTTTTTAGCCTCTATTTTGCTTAAGTTTAGTTTTCATTTAAAAATTACAATCTCAAATCTTCTTTTAACAAAATTTTTCTCTCAGTGTCCACGACTGCATATTAATGCGTTTAACACAAACAACTGAAAAAACCGAATGCTTTTTATAAACACAAAAAAATGTACAAATAGTAAAAAATACGAAAAAAATTCACAGCGAACAGTTGAAAAAAAAATGTCACAAATATTTATTTAATGGATTTATAATGTTTCATATTCTAATTGCTTTGGATAACAAAACACTGATGGTTACGTGTCTTGGCAAAAATTTTAGAGTTTTAAGCTAAAAAAAAACGACAAAATAACAAAAACAAAGTTATAATAATTCAGTTTTTAAATAAATTTTTATTCAGCTTTCAAAACACGCAGTAGTAATAATATAATTTAGTTTTTTTCCTCACGAAATGCAAAATAGAAATCTACAGCGAATCTCTCCTTGCCGGCCACCAGCCAACGGGTAAAGACTGAATAATCACCATTCGCCAAAGGCAGCCATTTTTGTTTTTCCATGTCTATACGCATACGATTCATTAAAACATAATTCTAAATCAAACACAAATTAAAACTGTTAAAAAAACAGACTTTACTTTAAACTAGAACTGAACTAGAATTGAACTAGAATTGAACTAGGATTGAACTAGAATTGAACTAAAATTGAACTAGAATTGAACTAGAATTGAACTAGAATTGAACTAGAATTGAACTAGAATTGAACTAGAACTGAACTAGAACTGAAAGGAATTGAACTAGAATTGAACTAGAACTGAACTAGAACTAAACTAGAACTGAACTATACTAAAACTATAGCTGAACTATAACGGACTATAACTGAACTAGAACTGAACTATAACTGAACTGTAACTGAACTAGAACTGAACTAGAACTGAACTAGAACTGAACTAGAAACTGAACTAGAACTGAACTAGAACTGAACTAGAACTGAACTAGAACTGAACTAGAACTGAACTAGAACTGAACTAGAAACTGAACTAGAACTGAACTAGAACTGAACTAGAACTGAACTAGAACTGAACTAGAACTGAACTAGAACTGACTACTAGAACTAACTAGACTGAACTAGAACTGAACTAGAACTGAACTAGAACTGAACTAGAACTGAACTAGAACTGAACTAGAACTGAACTAGAACTGAACTAGAACTGAACTAGAACTGAACTAGAACTGAACTAGAACTGAACTAGAACTGAACTAGAACTGAACTAGAACTGAACTAACTGAACTAGAACTGACTAGAACTGAACTAGAACTGAACTAGAACTGAACTAGAACTGAACTAGAACTACTGAACTACTGAACTAGAACTGAAACTAGAACTGAACTAGAACTGAACTAGAACTGAACTAGAACTGAACTAGAACTGAACTAGAACTGAAACTAGAACTGAACTAGAACTGAACTAGAACTGAACTAGAACTGAACTAGAACTGAACTAGAACTGAACTAGAACTGAACTAGAACTGAACTAGAACTGAACTAGAACTGAACTTGAACTGAACTAGAACTGAACTAGAACTGAACTAGAACTGAACTAGAACTGAACTAGAATGACTAGAATTGAACTAGAATTGAACTAGAATTGAACTAGAATTGAACTAGAACTGAACTAGAACAGAACTAGAACTGAACTAGAACTGAACTAGAACAGAACTAGAACAGAACTAGAACTGAACTAGAACTGAACTAGAACTGAACTAGAACTGAACTAGAACTGAACTAGAACTGAACTAGAACTGAACTAGAACTACTGAACTAGAACTGAACTAGAACTGAACTAGAACTGAACTAGAACTGAACTAGACTGAACTAGAACTGAACTAGAACTGAACTAGAACTGAACTAGAACTAGAACTGAACTAGAACTGAACTAGAACTGAACTAGAACTGAACTAGAACTGAACGAGAACTGAACTAGAACTGAACTAGAACTGAACTAGAACTGAACTAGAACTGAACTAGAACTGAACTAGAACTGAACTAGAACTGAACTAGAACTGAACTAGAACTGACTAGAACTGAACTAGAACTGAACTAGAACTGAACTAGAATTGAACTAGAACTGAACTAGAACTGAACTAGAACTGAACTAGAACTGAACTAGAACTGAACTAGAACTGAACTAGAACTGAACTAGAACTGAACTAGAACTGAACTAGAACTGAACTAGAACTGAACTAGACTGAACTAGAACTGAACTAGAACTGAACTATGAACTGAACTAGAACTAGAACTGAACTGAACTAGAACTGAACTAGAACTGAACTAGAACGACTAGAACTGAACTAGAACTGAACTAGAACTGAACTAGAACTGAACTAGAACTGAACTAGAACTGAACTAGAACTGAACTAGAACTGAACTAGAACTGAACTAGAACTGAACTAGAACTGAACTAGAACTGAACTAGAACTGAACTAGAACTGAACTAGAACTGAACTAGAACTGAACTAGAACTGAACTAGAACTGACTAGAACTGACTAGAACTGAACTAGAACTGAACTAGAATGAACTAGAACTGAACTAGAACTGAACTAGAACTGAACTAGAACTTAGAACTAGAACTGAACTAGAACTGAACTAGAACTGAACTTGAACTGAACTAGAACTGAACTAGAACAGAGTTATAACTATACTAGAACTGAAACTAGAACAGAGTTATAACTAAACTAGAACTGAACTGGAACTGAACTAGAACTGAACTAGAATTGAACTAGAACTAGAACTAGAACTAGAACTGACTAGAACTGAACTAGAACTGAACTAGAACTGAACTGAACTAGAACTGAACTAGAACTGAACTAGAACTAGAACTAGAACTAGAACTGAACTAGAACTAGAACTAGAACTAGAACTGAACTAGAACTAGAACTGAACTGAACTAGAACTGAACTAGAACTGAACTAGAACTGAACTAGAACTGAACTAGAATTGAACTAGAACTGAACTAGAACTGAACTAGAACTGAACTAGAACTGAACTAGAACTGAACTAGAACTGAACTAGAACTGAACTAGAACTGAACTAAAACTGACTAAAACTGAACTAGAACTGAATTAGAACTGAACTAGAATTGAACTAGAATTGAACTAGAACTGAACTAGAACTGAACTAGAACTGACTAGAACTGAACTAGAACTAACTAGAACTGAACTAGAACTAGAACTAGAACTGAACTAGAACTGAACTAGAACTGAACTAGTACTGAACTAGAACTGAACTAGAACTGAACTAGAACTGAACTAGAACTGAACTAGAACTGAACTAGAACTGAACTAGAACTGAACTAGAACAAAACTAGAACTGAACTAGAACTGAACTAGAACTAAACTAGAACTGAACTAGAACTGAACTAAAACTGAACTAAAACTGAACTGGAACTGATCTAGAACTGAACTAGAACTAAACAAGAACTGAACTAGAACTGAACTAAAACTGAACTAAAACTGAACTGGAACTGATCTAGAACTGAACTAGAACTGAACTAGAACTGAACTAGAACTGAACTAGAACTGAACTAGAACTGAACTAGAACTGAACTAGAACTGAACTAGAACTGAACTAGAACTGAACTAGAACTGAACTAGAACTGAACTAGAACTGAACTAGAACTGAACTAGAACTGAACTAGAACTGAACTAGAACTGAACTAGAACTGAACTAGAACTGAACTAGAACTGAACTAGAACTGAACTAGAACTGAACTAGAACTGAACTAGAACTGAACTAGAACTGAACTAGAACTGAACTAGAACTGAACTAGAACAGAACTAGAACTGACTAGAACTGAACTAGACAGCGTTATAACTAAAGTAGAACTGAACTAGAACTGAACTAGAACTGAACTAGAACCTGAACTAGAACTGAACTAGAACTGAACTAGAACTGAACTAGAACTGAACAAGAACTGAACTAGAACTGAACTAGAACTGAACTAGAACTGAACTAGAACTGAACTAGAACTGAACTAGAACTGAACTAGAACTGAACTAGAACTGAACTAGAACTGAGCTAGAACTGAACTAGAACTGAACTAGAACTGAATCAGAACTGAACAGAACTGAACTAGAACTGAACTAGAACTGACAGAACTGGACTAGAACTGAACTAGAACTGAATAGAACTGAACTAGAACTGAACTAGAACTGAACTAGAACAGAACTAGAACTGAACTAGAACTGAACTAGAACTGAACTAGAACTGAACTAGAACTGAACTAGAACTGAACTAGCTAGAACTACTGAACTAGAACTGAACTAGAACTGAACTGAACTAGAACTGAACTAGAACTGAACTAGAACTGAACTAGAACTGAACTAGAACTGAACTAGAACTGAACTAGAACTGAACTAGAACTGAACTAGAACTGAACTAGAACTGAACTAGAACTGAACTAGAACTGAACTAGAACTGAACTAGAACTGAACTAGAACGAACTAGAACTGAACTAGAACTGAACTAGAACTGAACTAGAACTGAACTAGAACTGAACTAGAACTGTACTATAAATGAACTAGAACTGAACTAGAACTGTACTATAAATGAACTAGAACTGAACCAGAACTGAACTAGAACTGAACTAGAACTGAACTAGAACTGAACTAGAACTGAACTAGAACTGAACTAGAACTGAACTAGAACTGAACTAGAACTGAACTAGAACTGAACTAGAACTGAACTAGAACTGAACTAGAACTGAACTAGAACTGAACTAGAACTGAACTAGAACTGAGCTAGAACTGAACTAGAACTGAACTAGAACTGAACTAGAACTGAACTAGAACTGAACTAGAACTAGAACTGAACTAGAACTGAACTAGAACTGAACTAGAACTGAACTAGAACTGAACTAGAACTGAACTAGAACTGAACTAGAACTGAACTAGAACTGAACTAGAACTGAACTAGAACTGAACTAGAACTGAACTAGAACTGAACTAGAACTGAACTAGAACAGAACTAGAACTGAACTAGAACTGAACTAGAACTGAACTAGAACTGAACTAGAACTGAACTTGAACTAGAACTGAAGTAGAACTGAACTAGAACTGAACTAGAACTGAACTAGAACTGAACTAGAACTGAACTAGAACTGAACTAGAACTGAACTAGAACTGAACTAGAACTGAACTAGAACTGAACTAGAACTGAACTAGAACTGAACTAGAACTGAACTAGAACTGAACTAGAACTGAACTAGAACTGAACTAGAACTGAACTAGAACTGAACTAGAACTGAACTAGAACCGAACTAGAACTGAACTAGAACTGAACCAGAAGTGATCTAGAACAGAATTATAACCGGAACTAACTAACTCTTCAAAACTTACCCTCAATGGACAAGTACGGTTCAAATTCGTATACTTTTCAATTTGTTTGTATAGATAGTCCACCATGGGAAAACTGGAACGTTTTAGTAAAAATTTACAGCCATCGAATGTAGTTTCTTTAAATAGATATTGATTGTACTTATTATTGGAAAGTTTATACAAACCAATTTTACCCTAACAAATGGAAATTATTTTAAATCATTTCAATTTCTTAAATAAATTATATACTTACAATAATTTTATTTATCGCATTAGCAAAGGTAATATTTATTGTGGTTTCCGATATCCAACGCGATATACGTTTATTGAAACATTTTGTAAAATTAGCGAAAGATGCATCCGAATTTTTACATTTAATTGATGTTATATCCAAATGACTGCTAGAGACCTTTAAAACATCCGGAAAACGTTAAAATGTTATTTATTGTTATCGAATTATTTATATGTATATTATTTTTACCTTTATTACAATACTTATAATAATGCTAAAGCACAATAAGGCTTTTTGCTTACAGTTTAATAACATTTTATAAACTATACAAAAATTATATTTCAACAGCTAAATATTATTTGAAATTAATCGAACTTGTGTTATTTTAAGCAATATGGTTTTATTAATTGTTAGTACATTTCGATCAATTAAATCGATTACTCATAAATCGCTTATATTAATATAATTACTCTTTTTTATAATATATCCATTAGGGTGATAATATTTTTAGAAAATATAGAAAATAAAAAAATAATATCACGACGCGACGCGTAATTTGTCTATTAAGTTTAAATGCTGAATTTCAGTAATTGTCTATCGCTAAACACAACAGACATGGCAGCGGTTTTATTAAATAATCATTCACAGGTCATATAAACATTTCAGTTTTTTATACCCTACACCACTTTGGTGGAGAGGGTATATTGGGTTTGTGCTGATGTTTGTAACGCACAATAATATTGGTCCTATATCCACCTTAAAGTATACCAATCGGCTTAGAATCATTTTCTGAGTCGATTTAGCTATGTCCGTCCGTCTGTCCGTCCATGTAAACCTTGTAATCAAACTACAGGTCGCAATATTGAAGATAATTCAATGAAATTTGGCACATGATCTTCTATTGTCCCAGGGACGAAGCCTATTGAAAATGGTTAAGATCGGTCCATTATTTCACCTAGCCCCCATACAACTGAACTGCGGAATAGGGCTTATAAACCTTGTAATCAAACTACATGTCGCAATTTTGATGATAATTCAATGAAATTTGGCACATGATCTTCTATAGTACCGGAGATTAAGCCTATTGAAAATGGTTAACATCGGTCTATTATTTCACCTAGCCCCCAACCCGACGAATAGGGATTTTAAATTCATAATTATGTTTAATATATTCGTATCTCAACAAAAAGCTGCAAACTAGTCTATAGTCTAGTCTATATTCTAGTCTATATTCTAGTCTATATTCTAGTCTATATGCTAGTCTATATTCTAGTCTATAGTCTGGTCTATAATCTTGTCTTTAGTTTAGTTTATAGTCTTGCCTATAGAATAGTCTATTGTCTGGTCCCTATAATTATAGGGTCTCATTTGACCATAGCACCTATACAAAGCCCCCTTCAAAATTTGACTTAAATGTACACAATTTTATTCAACAATAAATGGCTTAAGTATATCTGAGGCAAGGTACAATTCAACTTGAATGCTTTATTATGAAAACTAAATCACATTTTTTTGTAACAGGTTTAGTGTATTATATGGTCGGCCTCGCCCAACTATAATTTCTTATTTGTTTTATAATAAACAAGTTTTTAGTCGCGGCTACAATACATGAATATAGTCTATAGTTCTCTTTAATATAATATTGAATAGAGTCCAGTCTATAGCATAATCCAAAGTCTAGATTATAGTCTGAACTAAAGTCTTGAACTCTATAGTCAAGTCTATAGTCTAGTCTACAGTCTAGTCTATAGTCTAGTCTATAGTCTAGTCTATAGTCTAGTCTATAGTCTAGTCTATAGTCTAGTCTATAGTCTAGTCTATAGTCTAGTCTATAGTCTAGTCTATAGTCTAGTCTATAGTCTAGTCTATAGTCTAGTCTATAGTCTAGTCTATAGTCTAGTCTATAGTCTAGTCTATAGTCTAGTCTATAGTCTAGTCTATAGTCTAGTCTATAGTCTAGTCTATAGTCTAGTCTATAGTCTAGTCTATAGTCTAGTCTATATTCTAGTTTATAGTCTAGTCTATAGTCTAGTCTATAGTCTAGTCTATAGTCTAGTCTATAGTCTAGTCTATAGTCTAGTCTATAGTCTAGTCTATAGTCTAGTCTATAGTCTAGTCTATAGTCTAGTCTATAGTCTAGTCTATAGTCTTAGTCTATATTCTAGTTTATAGTCTAGTCTATAGTCTAGTCTATAGTCTAGTCTATAGTCTAGTCTATAGTCTAGTCTATAGTCTAGTCTATAGTCTAGTCTATAGTCTAGTCTATAGTCTAGTCTATAGTCTAGTCTATAGTCTAGTCTATAGTCTAGTCTATAGTCTAGTCTATAGTCTAGTCTATAGTCTAGTCTATAGTCTAGTCTATAGTCTAGTCTATAGTCTAGTCTATAGTCTAGTCTATAGTCTAGTCTATAGTCTAGTCTATAGTCTAGTCTATAGTCTAGTCTATAGTCTAGTCTATAGTCGTCTAGTCTAGTCTATAGTCTATAGTCTAGTCTATAGTCTAGTCTATAGTCTAGTCTATAGTCCAGTCTATAGTCTAGTCTATAGTCTAGTCTATAGTCCAGTCTAGTGTCTAGTCTATAGTCTAGTCTATAGTCTAGTCTATAGTCCAGTCTAGTGTCTAGTCTATAGTCTAGTCTATAGTCTAGTCTATAGTCTAGTCTATAGTCTAGTCTATAGTCTAGTCTATAGTCTAGACTATAGTCTAGTCTATAGTCTAGTCTATAGTCTAGTCTATAGTCTAGTCTATAGTCTAGTCTATAGTCTAGTCTATAGTCTAGTCTATAGTCTAGTCTATAGTCTAGTCTATAGTCTAGTCTATAGTCTAGTCTATAGTCTAGTCTATAGTCTAGTCTATAGTCTAGTCTATAGTCTAGTCTATAGTCTAGTCTATAGTCTAGTCTATAGTCTAGTCTATAGTCTAGTCTATAGTCTAGTCTATAGTCTAGTCTATAGTCTAGTCTATAGTCTAGTCTATAGTCTAGTCTATAGTCTAGTCTATAGTCCAGTCTATAGTCTAGTCTATAGTCTAGTCTATAGTCCAGTCTAGTGTCTAGTCTATAGTCTAGTCTATGTCTAGTCTATAGTCTAGTCTATAGCAGTCTAGTGTCTAGTCTATAGTCTAGTCTATAGTCTAGTCTATAGTCTAGTCTATAGTCTAGTCTATAGTCTAGTCTATAGTCTAGTCTATAGTCTAGTCTATAGTCTAGTCTATAGTCTAGTCTATAGTCTAGTCTAGTCTAGTCTATAGTCTAGTCTATAGTCTAGTCTATAGTCTAGTCTATAGTCTAGTCTATAGTCTAGTCTATAGTCTAGTCTATAGTCTAGTCTATAGTCTAGTCTATAGTCTAGTCTATAGTCTAGTCTATAGTCTAGTCTATAGTCTAGTCTATAGTCTAGTCTATAGTCTAGTCTATAGTCTAGTCTATAGTCTAGTCTATAGTCTAGTCTATAGTCTAGTCTATAGTCTAGTCTATAGTCTAGTCTATAGTCTAGTCTATAGTCTAGTCTATAGTCTTGTCTAGTCTATAGTCTAGTCTATAGTCTAGTCTATAGTCTAGTCTATAGTCTAGTCTATAGTCTAGTCTATAGTCTAGTCTATAGTCTAGTCTATAGTCTAGTCTATAGTCCAGTCTAGTGTCTAGTCTATAGTCTAGTCTATAGTCTAGTCTATAGTCTAGTCTATGGTCTATTCTATAGTATAGTCTATATTCTAGTCTAATCTATGGTATAGTAGTATATAGTAGTGTCTATAGTTTACTCTATGGTGTAGTCTATAGTCTAATTTCTTCTTCAGTCTATATTCTAGTCAATACTTTTGGTTATAAGTTAGTCTATAGTTTAGTATATAGTCTAGTTTAAAGATTAGTCTAGAGTCTAGTCAATAGTTAAAATATAGTTTAATTATAGTGTAGTCTATAGTCTTCTCTATAGTTTAGTTTATACTAAAGTCTATAATCTATTCTGTATACTAGTCTATATTGTAGTCTATTGTCTAGTATATAGTCAAGACTATTGTCTTAGTTTATAATCTTGTCTATAGTATTATCTAGTCTATAGTATAGCCTATATTCTAGTCTATACTTTAACCTATAGCCTATTCTATATTGTTTTCTATAGTCTAGTCCATTATATATAGTCTAATCTATATTCCAGTCTATAGTCTAATTTATAGTATTTTCTAGTCTATAGTCTAGTTTAAATTTTAGTATATATGTAGTTTAGTCTATATTCCAGTCTAGTCTATTCAAATCTATACTAGATTATAGAATAATATATAGTTTGGTGTATATCCTAGTCTTGTCTGACATAATCAAACGAGTTAGCTAGAGTTTGTCTATTATATTGTCGTGACTTTAGTCCAGTCTATAGTCTTGAATATAGTCAGTCCTCTTTTTCACTATACGAATATTACTTTCGTTCTAGATCATGCTAGATCGTCTGGTTTGAAGTTCGAAATTTTGTTTTGCATGCCGATTATTCTAGGTCTTGATGTAACTCTGCCAATATATTCCCAACATTCCAAAGGTAAGAGCCCTATAAAATAAATTTATGTAGTTCTTTTACAATTTTTTTCTAAATTTTATTTAAAATTTACAAACTCTTTTCCATTAACTTAACTATACAGACTCTCTCAGCTTAAATTAAAAAAAATCTTATAAACTACTAAATGCTTGTAAATTTTAATTACACAAAAAAAGCTTATTTTAAGCAAACAAAATGGCAGTCAATAATTCAAACTTAACTGTTTTCTTACACCTAAACTAAGTATTCTTAGGCTAACAAAAATGATTTGGTACACAGAGATTCAAAATTTCAAAATTAAATGAACATTATTAATTAAACTAAAATGGAACAACTATTTAAAGCAAACGGGACCAACTTTAAAGCCAAAAGCTTGATTTTCTTTGCCATAGTCCGAGGGCAAAAAGTCGTTTAGAGGCAGATAGTTTAAACGTTTTGTGGTGAATAATAAAACGGTAGAACCGGTCGAATAATAGTTCTAGAAGGTTAAAAATATCAGGGTTATTAAAAATTATAGGAATTTTCTGTTTAAAATTTTCTACAACTTACCGCACATTCATCTTTAACCACTTCCGGTTTGAGACCTCCCTCCTTTACCGTTATTTCCACTTCATTATCGCCCATAAATTTAAGCGCCTTTTCGTAATTGTTTTGTGCACGATCATGCCAGGCTACCGAATTGCGGCAATAGTATGTAAAGTTTTGATAGGCCTCTTCGGATAAAAGTTTCAGGAAAGTCAATTGCACAACACCAACACCGTCATAACTAATTTTAGCTCCACCCTGCATTTGAGAGAACCATTGTTTTTCATTCGAATAGCGCATAGGCACCAGTGGCCTTTCTGAGGTATGAACATCGGGATATATACAGGTTTCTCCATTACTAGACATTTTACAATAAACCTTAATAGCATCGTCGGGCATTCCGCCATTAGGATCAATCCAATACCAATCGTCTTCGAATTGTGTATGAGCATAGTGTAAATCTCGACATGTTAGTCCCGGATTATCTTGAGTGCCTGTGGGTTTGCGAATTTTATCCATTTCTTGGCGCATGCCATAGATGGCATTATACATATCGACTATTTTGTCAGTGGCCTCAGAGGAATCATTTTTCTTCTTTTTCTTGCGTTTTGTTTTCTTTTTATCTTCATTAGCTCTTGCTACGGGACTGGAGAATACGCCCATTAGTTCGTTAAAATCATCATTATCATCGTCCTCAAATGCTGCGGACATGTCAACATCTCTGCGTCGTCTTGTTTCGGCTTTGGTAGTAGAATATTGTTGCATTTGGAATAACAGTTCTGGCGGTATCATGGGTGCTTCTGCTGGTGCTCCTGGTGCACCAGGTGGACCTGGGGGTCCCACTTCACCTTTATTGCCAGCTCTACCCTCAACTCCTTTGGGTCCAGTTGGACCATGCATGCCTGGCAAACCTGGCGGTCCATCATTACCTTTAGGTCCTATAGGACCCATTGGTCCCGGATCTCCTTTAGGTCCTTCTACACCATGGGGTCCTCTAAAGCCTCTATCACCCTTTTCACCTTGTTCTCCTTTAATACCAACCATACCCAGTTCACCACGATGACCCTTCTGGCCTCTTCTACCACGATCACCTTTAGGACCTGCTGGTCCTGGTAAACCGACTTTGCCTTCTTTACCTTCAGGTCCAGCAAGACCTGGCAAACCAATGTCTCCCACTAAGCCTTGTGGTCCTCTTGCTCCACGTGGACCTTGTACGCCTGGAGGTCCCTGGGGACCAGTCATGCCTAGCGGACCTTCAGGACCTAAATCTCCTTTGTCGCCCTTTTCTCCTTGAGGACCCGTAGGGCCTTGCATGCCAGATGGACCTTCGGGACCTTGTTTACCTGGTGGTCCGGTTTCTCCTATTCTTCCCTCAGGGCCTTGTTCACCTGGTGGACCCATGTCGCCTGGTTTACCATCCTCACCGTCGGGGCCAACATCACCTTTTAGACCCACCAAACCTGGCTCTCCTCTCGCTCCTGGGAAACCTCTTGGACCCATATCTCCCTTAGGACCCTCTGGTCCAGCAACACCGGGTCTTCCTGGAGGACCTATAGGTCCCGATTTTCCTTCCTCTCCTTTAGGTCCAGTCATACCTTTCTCTCCGGCACGTCCTGTGGGCCCTACAGGACCAGGAGGACCTTGGGGACCATCGACACCGGTTGGACCGGGTAGACCACGAGGTCCTGGTTTTCCTTGGTGGCCAATTGCTCCTGTAATTTTAATTCAAAATTAATATTTGTTTTATTTCCTTATAAAATGTGCAAATTTTGATACCTTTTGGTCCTCTTCGACCTTGGTCACCTGGTGGACCTGGAGGTCCCACAGGACCCATTAAGCCATCATCTCCTCTTTCACCTTTAACACCTGCAGGTCCTGGTAAACCTTGTAAACCAGTCTTTCCCATAGGACCCGGTAAGCCCATCTTACCATCTTCACCTTTAATACCGCGATGACCTTGTTCGCCTGGTGGTCCTTTTTCACCTGGAGAACCGGGTGGACCAGATTCACCTCGAGGACCTTGAGGTCCAGCGGGACCAGCAGGGCCCTTTTTAAAAACACATAAACGTTAATTTTTTGAAGAATAAAATACAGACAAAACTTACTTGTTCACCTTGATTTCCCTTCAAACCCTTTTCTCCTGGTATGCCAGCCTCACCTTTGTCGCCATCCTCACCTGGTGTACCCATAGGTCCCGGTGGCCCTGGTAAACCTCTCAGGCCAGCTATGCCATCTCTTCCAGCTGGACCTATGGGACCTCTTTCACCCACTTCACCTTTAGCTCCTGGAGCTCCAGGATTACCTGGATTACCCTGATTTCCTTGTGGTCCTGGAGGACCTAATTGACCGGGTACACCTGCTTGTCCTTTATCACCCGGTAAGCCCGGAGCACCTGTCATACCTTGTTCGCCTTTTAAGCCCGGAAGACCAGGTTGTCCTTGATGTCCCCTTTCTCCTGGAAAACCTGGCAGACCGGTAGGACCTTGGGGTCCTTGATTACCCATTGGACCTACTGGTCCGGGTGGACCTTCTTTACCCGACTCTCCTGGTATACCAGCTTCTCCCGGCTGTCCTGGTAATCCCGGTATGCCGGGTTCACCAATTGGACCCATTTCTCCGGGAGCACCTCTTGGACCTATAACACCTGGTTCTCCAATAGGACCTGGTTTTCCTGGTTCTCCCTATAAAACAAATTTATAATTTAATAAAACAAATTATATTTCCATTCCTGTAAACTTACTGGTTGACCTCTTTCACCGGGTGGACCATGAGGTCCAGTTTTACCATCCGATCCTGGTACACCTGGCATTCCTATAAAACCTCTGGGTCCTTCAGCACCTTGTGGACCTCTTTCACCTTGTATTCCTGGAGGTCCCGGTTGACCACTATCACCTTTAGGACCGGGGCTGCCATCATTACCCCGTCTACCCCTTGAGCCTCGAAAACCTCGGGGTCCTGTTTCACCTCTCTCACCAGATGGTCCTTGTGGACCTCTTTCGCCTTTAATACCAGCTGGTCCAGTAGCACCGGTGGCACCTTTATCTCCCTTATCACCTGAAGGTCCTGGATAGCCTTGAAAACCTTGTGGTCCCTGTTTACCCTTCTCTCCGGGCAAACCTTGTGGGCCAGTTTCGCCTCTGGGTCCCTCAAAACCTTTAGGTCCCTCAGGACCTTCAGGACCAGGAGCTCCGGCAGCCCCAGGAATACCACGCTCTCCTGGAACACCCATATCACCTTTTTCACCATCTATACCGCGTTCACCAGCATCACCTTTATCTCCTGGAGGTCCTCGTAAACCATCATCACCCTTAGAACCACGGGGACCTGGAAAACCTACAGGACCCTGGACTCCTTGTACGCCTTGATCACCTTTAGGTCCTGTTTGACCGGGATTACCAGCCACACCAGGAGAGCCATCAGCACCTGGCAAACCAGGTAAACCAGGTTTACCACTTGGACCTGGAATTCCAGGAGGCCCAGGTTTACCTTGTGGACCAGGCGAACCTACGGGACCTTGTGAACCTTGTTGTCCGGGTGCACCAGGTTGTCCAGTTGGACCAGTGTTGCCTTTAGAACCTGGCTGACCTTCATTACCTTGAGGCCCGGGATTACCGATAGGACCAGGGAAACCACGTGGTCCAGGAAAGCCACGAGGTCCCTAAAATAAAACATTGTTAATAAAATTCCAGATTACTGTTATCATGATAACACTTACCAATTCACCTGGTAAACCGGGAAGACCTGGTGGACCATCTTCTCCCGGATGACCTTCTACACCTTGCTGACCTTTTTCACCTCTTTGGCCAGGACTACCACGATGTCCCTTTTCACCAGGTATGCCCATTGGACCAATAGGTCCCATTTCTCCCTTAGGTCCTTGAGGACCCTGAGCACCACGTTCACCATCTCTTCCAGAACGGCCCCGTCTGCCTTCACGTCCTTGTGGACCGGTGGGACCACGAAGACCTCGTAATCCCTGCAGCAGATAAATATTCTAAATGTTAAATAAATATTTGATGGAAATCTATAGCGTATAACTTACTGGCTCACCAGCATCTCCGGGTTCTCCTTTGGGACCTTGAGGACCAGTGAGACCGGGTGGACCTGGCGGTCCTGTAAGACCTGTTGGGCCTTCAGGACCACGTAAAGCCATCTATAATAAGAATATTAATTAGTCTACAAACATTACACCTTCCAAGTTAATAAACCCACCATATGTTGGGATATCATTTGTCTTAAAGCCTCAACTTGGGAATCGGGACCCTTCTCATTACCACCACTACCGCCAGGAACTGTCTGAAAATTAAAATTTTGTTTAATTTTTTATTGTAACGAAAAATTGTAAATGAAAAAAACTTACTGGCACTACAAAAACATGGCCAGCGGGACCTTGAATGCCATCCGCCCCTGGTAATCCATCACGACCAGGTTCTCCTTTAGGGCCACGATCTCCTGGTGGACCTGGCAATCCGGTATAACCTCTAGGACCTGGATAGCAAGGTGTACCACTGGAATCAATGGGTCTATCGTAAGTGGTACCATTAATAGTTGTTGTTCTATTGTTTTCTTCATTTTCCAAATCGATGGGATTAGTAAAATCTATTTCGGCAGATATCTCTTCTCTCGATGACTTTTTAGATTTTTTTCGATCTTTTTTAGTTTTTCTCGTTTTTGTAGTTTTATCGTTATTAGGTAACTGCTCGCCTCCCAACTCATCCGATCCGGTGGTAGTTGGATCCAAAGTTTGTGTGCCCTCCTGACTTGTTAAAGGAATTTCACTAGAATTTGCTAAACCTTCATAGTCTCCCTCAATGGCGTAATCTATATCTGAAATGTCAGCTTCTTTTTTGGTGTCATTAGAATGGTAAGTGGTTCCAAAACCATTTGAAGCACCTCCTGATAAACCAAAATCGGTTCTGGGCCTTACAGCTGCTCCTTTTGAAGCACCCGCAGCACCGAAGGAAAATTCATTATCTTTTGAACGATCACCTATAATGCCTAAATCCAAAGAGGGATTTTGTCCAGCGGTTGATAAAGAACCATCGTTTGAAACTTCACCTGCTGCAGCAAACTCGTGGTTAGCATTCCTGCCATTACCAGATATTCTAGAACGTAAAGCATTTGCACTTAATGAGCCCGAACTTGAACCACTCGAATAACTACTACTTGATCTAGAAGAACCAGATGTATTTCCTCTACTTCCAGTATGAGAATGTGTGAAACTTCTTGAACTTTTCTGGCTATCCTCGCCATAAAATGATTCATCTATACAGGGCGTCACATATTTCGTACAAACTTCATAACCAGCCTCCGGAGTATTCCATATAGACATCATTTGTACATCTCCCATAAAGAAACCATCATCATTACTCATTTGTACACCGGTCAAAATCAAGCCATTCGTAGCTATTGAACTGCCCAAAGTACGTTCCAATCTTCTCGTTACTTGTTTTGTGCAATCCAAATTCAACGTAGCCGAACTACCCTTAACACTCAGACCAATACGATGCCATTTATCATCATTAATGCCAATACCAAAGTTAATATCATTATGTTGATTGAACCCTGCATCGATTTGTTCATAACTAAATTGTATCTGTGGACCGATACTGAGCGATAGTACTTCTTCACTTTCATCCGAGTATATAGTGAAAATTGGTGCAGCGGATGGACTTGTGCGACTGCTACGTACAGCCAATACTATGGAGAAATCGGTGGGAAAACCATCGGGAAATATTTCAGAGGTTTGTACCGTTAAAATGGCATCTTTATCTATGTTGTAGGCAGGAGATTTATGTATTTGATAAGGATTTCTTTCCACACCACACATTCCGGGAACTGCCGTTATACCGGGTGGTAAATCGGGAAAACCAAATTCTTTGATAAGATCAACGTGTTCTGCAAGAAAAATAGGTCTTTGTTTAGCTAAATAAGTAAAGAATGTAATTATATTAGGGAATTTAATTAAAGATCAGGACCCGCGATATGTATCAGATATGAAACTAAAATTTGGTTTACATAGAAGAACCACCTTTAAGATAATGTAAAAAAAAAACTGAATCTTATTTTGCAAACTTTTAGTCTATAGTCTAGTCTAGTCTCTAGTCTATAGTCCATCCTATAGTCTAGTCTATAGTCTTGTCTATAGTGTAGTCTATAGTCTTGTCTGTTGTCTAGTCTATAGTCTAGTCTATAGTCTAGTCTATAGTCTAGTTTATAGTCTAGTTTATAGTCTAGTCTATAGTCTAGACTAGTCTATATTCTAGTCTATAGTCTAGTCTATAGTCTAGTTTATAGTCTAGTTTATGGTCTAGTCTATTCTAGTCTATAGTCTAGTCTATAGTCTAGTCTAGTCTATAGTCTAGTCTAGTCTATAGTCTAGTCTATAGTCTAGTCTATAGTCTAGTCTATAGTCTAGTCTATAGTCTAGTCTATAGTCTAGTCTATAGTCTAGTCTATAGTCTAGTCTATAGTCTAGTCTATAGTCTAGTCTATAGTCAGTCTAGTCTAGTCTAGTCTAGTCTATAGTCTAGTCTATAGTCTAGTCTATAGTCTAGTCTATAGTCTAGTCTATAGTCTAGTCTATAGTCTAGTCTATAGTCTAGTCTATAGTCTAGTCTATAGTCTAGTCTATAGTCTATCTATAGTCTAGTCTATAGTCCTAGTCTATAGTCTAGTCTATAGTCTAGTCTATAGTCTAGTCTATAGTCTAGTCTATAGTCTAGTCTATAGTCTAGTCTATAGTCTAGTCTATAGTCTAGTCTATAGTCTAGTCTATAGTCTAGTCTATAGTCTAGTCTATAGTCTAGTCTATAGTCTAGTCTAGTCTATAATCTAGTCTATAGTCTACTCTATAGTCTACTCTATAGTCTAGTCTATAGTCTAGTCTATAGTCTAGTCTATAGTCTAGTCTATAGTCTAGTCTATAGTCTAGTCTATAGTCTAGTCTATAGTCTAGTCTATAGTCTAGTCTATAGTCTAGTCTATAGTCTAGTCTATAGTCTAGTCTATAGTCTAGTCTATAGTCTAGTCTATAGTCTAGTCTATAGTCTAGTCTATAGTCTAGTCTATAGTCTACTCTATAGTCTAGTCTATAGTCTAGTCTATAGTCTAGTCTATAGTCTAGTCTATAGTCTAGTCTATAGTCTAGTCTATAGTCTAGTCTATAGTCTAGTCTATAGTCTAGTCTAGTCTATAGTCTAGTCTTTAGTCTAGTCTATAGTCTAGTCTAGTCTATAGTCTAGTCTATAGTTTAGTCTATAGTCTAGTCTATAGTCTAGTCTATAGTCTAGTCTATAGTCTAGTCTATAGTCTAGTCTATAGTCTAGTCTATAGTCTACTCTATAGTCTAGTCTATAGTCTACACTATAGTCTAGTCTATAGTCTAGTCTATAGTCTAGTCTATAGTCCTATAGTCTAGTCTATAGTCTAGTCTATAGTCTAGTCTATAGTCTAGTCTATAGTCTAGTCTATAGTCTAGTCTATAGTCTAGTCTATAGTCTAGTCTATAGTCTAGTCTATAGTCTAGTCTATAGTCTAGTCTATAGTCTAGTCTATAGTCTAGTCTATAGTCTAGTCTATAGTCTAGTCTATAGTCTAGTCTATAGTCTAGTCTATAGTCTAGTCTATAGTCTAGTCTATAGTCTAGTCTATAGTCTAGTCTATAGTCTAGTCTATAGTCTAGTCTATAGTCTAGTCTATAGTCTAGTCTATAGTCTAGTCTATAGTCTAGTCTATAGTCCTTAGTCCTATCGTCTAGTCTATAGTCTAGTCGTATAGGTATAGTCTAGTCTATAGTCTAGTCTATAGTCTGTCTAGTCTATAGTCTGTCTATAGTCTAGTCTATAGTCTAGTCCTATAGTGCTAGTCTATAGTCTATAGTCTAAGTCTAGTATAGTCTAGTCTATAGTCTAGTCTATAGTCTAGTCTATAGTCTCTAGTAGTCTATAGTCTAGTACGATAGTCTAGTCTATAGTCTAGTCTATAGTCTAGTCTATAGTCTAGTCTATAGTCTATGTCTAGTCTATAGTCTAGTCTATAGTCTAGTCTATAGTCTAGTCTATAGTCTAGTCTAGTTAGTCTATAGTCTAGTCTATAGTCTAGTCTATAGCTAGTCTAGTCTAGTCTATTTTAGTCTATAGTCCACTCTATAGTTTAGTCTATAGTCCAATCTATAGTCCGTTCTATAGAATTGAATACAAACAAATAGTCAGTTTATCAGCCTGGATCTTTCAATTTCAGGAAGTTCAAAACACTTGTTTTTTCTTCAAACTTTGAATGCTATTTTCGTAACATTTCCCATAAATTCATAATCATACGAGTGCAGTAGTCTTTAAATACTTATGATGCCATACAAAGTATGCACTTATTTGTATGCAATAGATACAAAGTACGTTTTGTTCTTAATTGCCAAAACATCGAAGTAATAAAATACAAAAATAACAACAACAAACTGCAATATTATGACTCGTGTTAAGTATTCATTGATGAGTATTTATATGAGAATTTATTAAAATCAAGTCAAATGGCATAATGAAAACTGTTCGAAACTAGGTTCCATATGATGTCCATTGAGCTTTTACAAACGCAAATAAAACTGCGAGTTACAAACAAAACAAAACACACATGTTTCGCTATAAATACTCGAATATAAAAGCAATAGAAAAATTGCATTGCAGAAAACAAAGTCATTAATAAAAATTAATAGAAAATAATATTTTAATGTTTCCGATTTCCCCATTTAACTAGCGACAATGTGGCTACAATGAAGTTTGTTTGCTTCGTAATTTAAATTTAAAATAAATAATTAAAAAAATTTTGCAAAAAAAATTCCTTGTGAAAGCTATTAAGGTCAAATGGGTTTTTTAAATAAAAAAAATTAGCTACAAAGAAGAAATTTAACAAATGTTTTCTTTGAATAGAAATATTGGAGCATTTTCCTTAAAAGATCAATTTTGGAAAATTTTCTGCAGGAAGAAAATTTTCAGCTAAAAAAGAAAATTTTCTCCAAAAAGAAAATTTTTTGAACATTTCCTATCAAACGAGAAAATCTTCGAAATATTTCCATCTTCGAAAATTGTTTATATAAAGATAAAAAGAGATAGGTAATCTTCGAAAATCTATAGACTAGACAATGGACTAGACTATAGACTAGACTATGGACTAGTCTATAGACTAGACTATAGACTAGACTATAGACTAGACTATAGACTAGACTAGACTAGACTATAGACTAGACTATAGACTAGACTATAGACTAGACTATAGACTGTACTATAGACTAGACTATAGACTAGTCTATAGACTAGACTATAGACTAGACTATAGACTAGACTATAGACTAGACTATAGACTAGACTATAGACTAGACTATAGACTAGACTATAGACTAGACTATAGACTAGACTATAGACTAGACTATAGACTAGACTATAGACTAGACTATAGACTAGACTATAGACTAGACTATAGACTAGACTAGACTAGACTAGACTATAGACTAGACTATAGACTATACTATAGACTAGACTATAGACTAGACTAGACTATAGACTAGACTATAGACTAGACTATAGACTAGACTATAGACTAGACTATAGACTAGACTATAGACTAGACTATAGACTAGACTATAGACTAGACCATAGACTAGACTATAGACTAGACTATAGACTAGACTATAGACTAGACTATAGACTAGACTATAGACTAGACTATAGACTATAGACTAGACTATAGACTATAGACTAGACTATAGACTAGACTATAGACTAGACTATAGACTAGACTATAGACTAGACTATAGACTAGACTATAGACTAGACTATAGACTAGACTATAGACTAGACTATAGACTAGACTATAGACTAGACTATAGACTAGACTAGAGACTAGACTATAGACTAGACGAATAGACTAGACTATAGACTAGCCTATAGACTAGACTATATACTAGACTATAGACTAGACTATAGACTAGACTATAGACTAGACTATAGAACTAGACTTAGACATAGACTAGACTATAGACTAGACTATAGACTAGACTATAGACTAGACTATAGACTAGACTATAGACTAGACTATAGACTAGACTATAGACTAGACTATAGACTAGACTATAGACTAGACTATAGACTAGACTATAGACTAGACTATAGACTAGACTATAGACTAGACTATAGACTAGACTATAGACTAGACTAGAGACTAGACTATAGACTAGACTATAGACTAGACTAATGACCTAGACTATAGACTAGACATAGACTAATCTATAATCTAGACTAGAGACTAGACTATGAGACTAGACTATAGAAACTAGACTATAGACGTAGACTATAGGACTAGACTATAGAATGACTATGACTAAATAGAGCCTAGACTATAGACTAGACTATAGACTAGACTATAGACTAGACTATAGACTAGACTATAGACTAGACTATAGACTAGACTATAGACTAGACTATAGACTAGACTATAGACTAGACTATAGACTAGACTATAGACTAGACTATAGACTAGACATAGACTAGACTATAGACTAGACTATAGACTAGACTATAGACTAGACTATAGACTAGACTAGACTAGACTATAGACTAGACTATAGACTAGACTATAGACTAGACTATAGACTAGACTATAGACTAGACTATAGACTAGACTATAGACTAGACTATAGACTAGACTATAGACTAGACTATAGACTAGACTATAGACTAGACTATAGACTAGACTATAGACTAGACTATAGACTAGACTATAGACTAGACTATAGACTAGACTATAGACTAGACTATAGACTAGACTATAGACTAGACTATAGACTAGACTATAGACTAGACTATAGACTAGACTATAGACTAGACTATAGACTAGACTATAGACTAGACTATAGACTAGACTATAGACTAGACTATAGACTAGACTATGACTAGACTATAGACTAGACTATAGACTAGACTATAGACTAGACTATAGACTAGACTATAGACTAGACTATAGACTAGACTATAGACTAGACTATAGACTAGACTATAGACTAGACTATAGACTAGACTATAGACTAGACTATAGACTAACTATAGACTAGACTATAGACTAGACTATAGACTAGACTATAGACTAGACTATAGACTAGACTATAGACTAGACTATAGACTAGACTATAGACTAGACTATAGACTAGACTATAGACTAGACTATAGACGACTATAGACTAGACTATAGACTAGACTATAGACTAGACTATAGACTAGACTATAGACTAGACTATAGACTAGACTATAGACTAGACTATAGACTAGACTATAGACTAGACTATAGACTAGACTATAGACTAGACTATAGACTAGACTATAGACTAGACTATAGACTAGACTATAGACTAGACTATAGACTAGACTATAGACTAGACTATAGACTAGACTATAGACTAGACTATAGACTAGACTATAGACTAGACTATAGACTAGACTATAGACTAGACTATAGACTAGACTATAGACTAGACTATAGACTAGACTATAGACTAGACTATAGACTAGACTATAGACTAGACTATAGACTAGACTATAGACTAGACTATAGACTAGACTATAGACTAGACTATAGACTAGACTATAGACTAGATATAGACTAGACTATAGACTAGACTATAGACTAGACTATAGACTAGACTATAGACTAGACTATAGACTAGACTATAGACTAGACTAGACTAGACTATAGACTAGACTATAGACTAGACTATAGACTAGACTATAGACTAGACTATAGACTAGACTATAGACTAGACTATAGACTAGACTATAGACTAGACTATAGACTAGACTATAGACTAGACTATAGACTAGACTATAGACTAGACTATAGACTAGACTATAGACTAGACTATAGACTAGACTATAGACTAGACTATAGACTAGACTATAGACTAGACTATAGGACTAGCTAAGACTACAAGATTAGACTATAGACTATACTATAGACTAGAATATAAACTAGACTATGGACTAGACTACAGACTAGGCTATAGACTAGACTATAGACTAGACTATAGGCTAGACTAAAGGACTAGACTATAAACTAGAGTATAATCTATAGACTAGACTATAGACTAGACTATAGACTACACTACAGATTAGACTATAGACTATACTATAGACTAGAATATAAACTAGACTATGGACTAGACTACAGACTAGGCTATAGACTAGACTATAGACTAGACTATAGGCTAGACTAAAGACTAGACTATAAACTAGAGTATAATCTAGACTATAGGCAAGACTAAACTATAGACTACGCTATAAACTATTCTATAGACTAGACTGTATACTACACTATAAACTAAATATTGACTAAATTATATAGTAGACTATAGACTAGACTATAGAATTAATTACAAACTATGCTATAGATTATAGACTAGACTATAGAGTAGACTAAACCATAGTCTATTTTACAATTGTTTCTTTTCTTGGTGGGAATCTCTTTTTTAAATATAACTCTTCTTTTTTAATATTATTTACAAAACTTTACATCTATGTATGTCAAACTATATGCAATTTAATTGATTGATTAATGATTGTTCATGAAAAATTGTATTTGTTGTGTTCTACTAAAGAACTTGACATTAATTTGTTATTCTTTAATTCTATAATAGAATCGCAAAAAAGACAAAACAATGCATTAAAACATTAGATTTATATTTGATAAAAATCTTAAATGATTTAAACAAAAATTAGGGCGTCATAATATTAAAAAATTATTAAGCAATGGCGACAATTGTTATTAATCTGCTAGAAAATTACAACAAGAAATATAAACGAGTAAATTTAAGGCGTCAGACAATGCGACATAATTAATTAACTAGGAAAAACATTAAAATTTAATAATAATTGCAATTATTATGGGAAAATAATATAATCGTATTAAGCCACGCCCACTTTATTAATTATAACCACAAAATGTTCTGAAATCATTCATTCATTTATATTATTTTTTTTCTCGTTCATTAAAGTTATACTTTGGAATATATTTTTACAATTCATTTGAATACTTTCATAATTTATTTACGTACATACGTTAACGGCATGTGTCAAAATTGTAGCAATTGAATAGAATTGCTCCGCAGCCATTTACGTCATGATATGAGATGGCAACATATCAATGGAATATGTAGAAAGAATTTCACAAAACTATTTAAACACTTTTATTTATGACACTTTAGTAACAAACTTTTGCAATAACTCTTAATATTAGTTTATATTTAAATATTTTTTTAAAGTCAATTTTCATATTCATTGTTAGAATTTTAAAAATTTTAACGCCTTGATTGTCTAGTTATTTCTAAATGAACTAGAACTAAACTAGAACAGAGTTATAACTAAACTAGAACTGAACTAGAACTGAACTAGAACTGAACTAAATGAACTAGAACTGAACTAGAACTGAACTAGAACTGAACTAGAACTGAACTAAACTGAACTAGAACTGAACTAGAACTGAACTAGAACTGAACTAGAACTGAACTAGAACTGAACTAGAACTGAACTAGAACTGAACTAGAACTGAACTAGAACTGAACTAGAACTGAACTAGAACTGAACTAGAACTGAACTAGAACTGAACTAGAACTGAACTAGAACTGAACTAGAACTGAACTAGAACTGAACTAGAACTAAACTAGAACTGAACTAGAACTAAACTAGAACTGAACTAGAACTGAACTAGAACTGAACTAGAACTGAACTAGAACTGAACTAGTACTGAACTAGTACTGAACTAGAACTGAATAGAACTGAACTAGAACTGAACTAGAACTGAACTAGAACTGAACTAGAACTGAACTAGAACTGAACTAGAACTGAACTAGAACTGAACTAGAACTGAACTAGAACTAGAACTGAACTAGAACTGAACTAGAACTAGAACTGAACTAGAACTGAACTAGAACTGAACTAGAACTGAACTAGAACTGAAATAGAACTGAAATAGAACTGAACTAGAACTGAACTAGAACTGAACTAGAACTGAACTAGAACTGAACTAGAACTGAACTAGAACTGAACTAGAACTGAACTAGAACTGAACTAGAACTGAACTAGAACTGAACTAGAACTGAACTAGAACTGAACTAGAACTGAACTAGAACTGAACTAGAACTGAACTAGAACTGAACTAGAACTGAACTACAACTGAACTAGAACTGAACTAGAACTGAACTAGAACTGAACTAGAACTGAACTAGAACTGAACTAGAACTGAACTAGAACTGAACTAGAACTGAACTAGAACTGAACTAGAACTGAACTAGAACTGAACTAGAACTGAACTAGAACTGAACTAGAACTGAACTAGAACTGAACTAGAACTGAACTAGAACTGAACTAGAACTGAACTAGAACTGAACTAGAACTGAACTAGAACTGAACTAGAACTGAACTAGAACTGAACTAGAACTGAACTAGAACTGAACTAGAACTGAACTAGAACTGAACTAGAACTGAACTAGAACTGAACTAGAACTGAACTAGAACTGAACTAGAACTGAACTAGAACTGAACTAGAACTGAACTAGAACTGAACTAGAACTGAACTAGAACTGAACTAGAACTGAACTAGAACTGAACTAGAACTGAACTAGAACTGAACTGAGAACTAGGACTGAACTAGAACTGAACTAGAACTGAACTAGAACTGAACTAGAACTGAACTAGAACTGAACTAGAACTGAACTAGAACTGAACTAGAACTGAACTAGAACTGAACTAGAACTGAACTAGAACTGAACTAGAACTGAACTAGAACTGAACTAGAACTGAACTAGAACTGAACTAGAACTGAACTAGAACTGAACTAGAACTGAACTAGAACTGAACTAGAACTGAACTAGAACTGAACTAGAACTGAACTAGAACTGAACTAGAACTGAACTAGAACTGAACTAGAACTGAACTAGAACTGAACTAGAACTGAACTAGAACTGAACTAGAACTGAACTAGAACTGAACTAGAACTGAACTAGAACTGAACTAGAACTGAACTAGAACTGAACTAAAACTGAACTAGAACTGAACTAGGACTGAACTAGAACTGAACTAGAACTGAACTAGAACTGAACTAGAACTGAACTAGAACTGAACTAGAACTGAACTAGAACTGAACTAGAACTGAACTTGTACTGAACTAAAACTGAACTAGAACTGAACTAGAACTGAACTTGAACTGAACTAGAACTGAACTAGAACTGAACTAGAACTGAACTAGAACTGAACTAGAACTGAACTAGAACTGAACTAGAACTGAACTAGAACTGAACTAGAACTGAACTAGAACTGAACTAGAACTGAACTAGAACTGAACTAGAACTGAACTAGAACTGAACTAGAACTGAACTAGAACTGAACTAGAACTGACTAGAACTGAACTAGAACTGAACTAGAACTGAACTAGAACTGAATTAGAACTGAACTAGAACTGAACTAGAACTGAACTAGAACTGAACTAGAACTGAACTAGAACTGAACTAGAACTGAACTAGAACTTAACTAGAACTCAACTAGAACTTAAATAGAAATCAACTAGAACCAGAACTGAATTAGAAGTTTTCTATGAAGTTTTTAAAAGCTCATTAATTAATAATAATAATAAAAAAAAACGAACTTACCTTCCGCATTTGCAATTCCAAATATGGCAATTATAAAAATTCCAATCCAATAAGACATTTTAGCAGACGTTTTTAAATGATGATAATATCCAATACGCTGCCATCTGCCTTTCATAGTGACAGAGGCAAAACTTATTTGAAAAACAAATAACTTTTTTTATAATTGTTTACAATTAAAACAGCAAATTGTTAATTTAAATTTATTAAACAATTCCTTGTATACTATTTATGGTATATCAATTAAACATGATGCACTTAGAGGGAAAATAACTAAAAATATAAATTGTATTTAATAAAAATATGAATAAATTAAAAGTGATAAGAAAATTACAAAATAAAGGGAATTCCTTAAATGACTTTTAAACTTTAGTTTACAAAACAAACATAAATAAATACGTCATTACTTGGTCTCTTATCACATTGACCTAGTCCAAAACACACACACACACACAATTCACCATTTACTTTATATATTTTATTACAAATCCACCACAATTATGAAATTTATTATCATTTAGGCTAATTACAGCATTAATATGATTAACGATCGCCGGCCGGCTTATAAATTTATATATTTTTTTAATTTTAGTTTTAACTTTATCACCAACAGCTGTTTATTTATTTTCACTTTTTTTATTATTATTTAATTTCATCAACAGAAATATAATGACCTCTTCTTCAAAGATACGACGTCTTAGACTTAACTAAACCGGGAAGCCGAATTTCAAAATGAATGAAATCAAATAAATGTATGTGTCTCATTTAAAAGTCGATGATAACATTTTGAACTTTTTAAGAAAATAGTGCAGCATTATCACACATTTTTGTTAAAAATTTGGAAAGAAAGTGTAAAAATTTCACTATTTTGTACATAAAAATATTGTTTTATACAAAAATTTAAGGAAATTTCCTTAACTATTAAAATAAAAACTTATAATTTCTTTAAATTGTTATTTGTTTTTAAATATTTTAAATTTTTTTTAACTAAAACCCGTTAAAAATTCATGTTTTTGTAATTTTTTTTTAAAATGATGACATCACTTCCGGTTTAGGTAAATCTTCTTTAAATCTTTATTTATTTAAACATTTTGTTTATTTTTGCAATATTTGCTATTATTTTTATATTTTTTGTTTTTAAATATACAGTTTTCTTTAATTTTTCACAAAATTTTCTTAATTTACCACTATTTTCAATATTTGTTTTATTATTTTTTATATTATTTCAACACTTTTTCTTATTTTTTCCGTTTTTAGTACCGACACCACCAACCGCCAAGCAGGAACTAATCTTAGTTTACTACGTGATCTTCAAAAACAGTTTTAAAACTATTGTTATCTTTGAAAGGAAATATAATTGACTGCAACAGTGTTGTCATCGAAGAGAACTTAAGATGTGGAAGAGAATATTTCTAAGAGAATTTCTGATAGAATAGAGTCTAGAATAGACTATAGACTAGACTATAGACTAGGACTATAGGACTAGACTATACACAAGACTATAGACTAGCTATAGATAGACTACAGACTAGACTATCGACTAGACTATCGACTAGACTATCGAACTATCGACTAGGACTATAGACTAGACTATAGACTAGACTATAGACTAGACTATAGACTAGACTATAGACTAGACTATAGACTAGACTATAGACTAGACTATAGACTATAGACTAGACTATAGACTAGACTATAGACTAGACTATAGACTAGACTATAGACTAGACTATAGACTAGACTATAGACTAGACTATAGACTAGACTATAGACTAGACTATAGAGTAGACTATAGACTAGACTATAGACTAGACTATAGACTAGACTATAGACTAGACTATAGACTAGACTATAGACTAGACTATAGACTAGACTATAGACTAGACTATAGACTAGACTATAGACTAGACTATAGACTAGACTATAGACTAGACTATAGACTAGACTATAGACTAGACTATAGACTAGACTAGACTATAGACTAGACTATAGACTAGACTATAGACTAGACTATAGACTAGACTATAGACTAGACTATAGACTAGACTATAGACTAGACTATAGACTAGACTATAGACTAGACTATAGACTAGACTATAGACTAGACTATAGACTAGACTATAGACTAGACTATAGACTAGACTATAGACTAGACTATAGACTAGACTATAGACTAGACTATAGACTAGACTATAGACTAGACTATAGACTAGACTATAGACTAGACTATAGACTAGACTATAGACTAGACTATAGACTAGACTATAGACTAGACTATAGACTAGACTATAGACTAGACTATAGACTAGACTATAGACTAGACTATAGACTAGACTATAGACTAGACTATAGACTAGACTATAGACTAGACTATAGACTAGACTATAGACTAGACTATAGACTAGACTATAGACTAGACTATAGACTAGACTATAGACTAGACTATAGACTAGACTATATAGACTAGACTATAGACTAGACTATAGACTAGACTATAGACTAGACTATAGACTAGACTATAGACTAGACTATAGACTAGACTATAGACTAGACTATAGACTAGACTATAGACTAGACTATAGACTAGACTATAGACTAGACTATAGACTAGACTATAGACTAGACTAGACTATAGACTAGACTAGACTATAGACTAGACTATAGACTAGACTATAGACTAGACTAGACTATAGACTAGACTATAGACTAGACTATAGACTAGACTATAGACTAGACTATAGACTAGACTATAGACTAGACTATAGACTAGACTATAGACTAGACTATAGACTAGACTATAGACTAGACTATAGACTAGACTATAGACTAGACTATAGACTAGACTATAGACTAGACTATAGACTAGACTATAGACTAGACTATAGACTAGACTATAGACTAGACTATAGACTAGACTATAGACTAGACTATAGACTAGACTATAGACTAGACTATAGACTAGACTATAGACTAGACTATAGACTAGACTATAGACTAGACTATAGACTAGACTATAGACTAGACTATAGACTAGACTATAGACTAGACTATAGACTAGACTATAGACTAGACTATAGACTAGACTATAGACTAGACTATAGACTAGACTATAGACTAGACTATAGACTAGACTATAGACTAGACTATAGACTAGACTATAGACTAGACTAGAACTATAGACTAGACTATAGACTAGACTATAGACTAGACTATAGACTAGACTATAGACTAGACTATAGACTAGACTATAGACTAGACTATAGCTAACTATAGACTAGACTATAGACTAGACTATAGACTAGACTATAGACTAAGACTATAGACTAGACTATAGACTAGACTATAGACTAGACTATAGACTAGACTATAGACTAGACTATAGACTAGACTATAGACTAGACTATAGACTAGACTATAGACTAGACTATAGACTAGACTATAGACTAGACTATAGACTAGACTATAGACCTAGACTATAGACTAGACTATAGACTAGACTATAGACTAGACTATAGACTAGACTATAGACTAGACTATAGACTAGACTATAGACTAGACTAGACTAGACTATAGACTAGACTATAGACTAGACTATAGACTAGACTATAGACTAGACTATAGACTAGACTATAGACTAGACTATAGACTAGACTATAGACTAGACTATAGACTAGACTATAGACTAGACTATAGACTAGACTATAGACTAGACTATAGACTAGACTATAGACTAGACTATAGACTAGACTATAGACTAGACTATAGACTAGACTATAGACTAGACTATAGACTAGACTATAGACTAGACTATAGACTAGACTATAGACTAGACTATAGACTAGACTATAGACTAGACTATAGACTAGACTATAGACTAGACTATAGACTAGACTATAGACTAGACTATAGACTAGACTATAGACTAGACTATAGACTAGACTATAGACTAGACTATAGACTAGACTATAGACTAGACTATAGACTAGACTATAGACTAGACTATAGACTAGACTATAGACTAGACTATAGACTAGACTATAGACTAGACTATAGACTAGACTATAGACTAGACTATAGACTAGACTATAGACTAGACTATAGACTAGACTATAGACTAGACTATAGACTAGACTATAGACTAGACTATAGACTAGACTATAGACTAGACTATAGACTAGACTATAGACTAGACTATAGACTAGACTATAGACTAGACTATAGACTAGACTATAGACTAGACTATAGACTAGACTATAGACTAGACTATAGACTAGACTATAGACTAGACTATAGACTAAGACTATAGACTAGACTATAGACTAGACTATAGACTAGACTATAGACTAGACTATAGACTAGACTATAGACTAGACTATAGACTAGACTATAGACTAGACTATAGACTAGACTATAGACTAGACTATAGACTAGACTATAGACTAGACTATAGACTAGACTATAGACTAGACTATAGACTAGACTATAGACTAGACTATAGACTAGACTATAGACTAGACTATAGACTAGACTATAGACTAGACTATAGACTAGACTATAGACTAGACTATAGACTAGACTATAGACTAGACTATAGACTAGACTATAGACTAGACTATAGACTAGACTATAGACTAGACTATAGACTAGACTATAGAATAGACTATAGACTAGACTATAGACTAGACTATAGACTAGACTATAGACTAGACTATAGACTAGACTATATGCTAGACTATAGACTAGACTATAGGCTAGACTATAGGCTAGGACTATAGGCTAGACTATAGGCTAGACTATAGACTAGACTATAGACTAGACAATAGACTAGACTATATACTAGATTTTAGACTTTACTATAGGCTTGAACGATGTATAGTCAAGACTATATATTAGTAATCTACTTGTTCATTTTTAACTCCACTTTAGTTTAATCATTTTTAATTTTTCTCATAAACATTGATATTTTAATAATTTTATAAAATTGTGTCACAAAAATTTTTCACAAAAAATTTATTTATTTCCTAAATTTTTTAAGCCAACAAGCTGTACTTTTCAAATCAAAATTTTTAGTTAAAAAAATCTTTAATTTAAAAAAAAAATCTTTCTTAAAAAGTAAGTAACCAAATAAGAATTCAAAAATCAAATAAAAGACATGTTGAAATTACAGAATATTAAAAAAGTAAAAAATTCAAAATGTGTGACCCATGCTGCCCTCCTTGTGGACCTTGCCCACCCTGCGGACCTTGTGGTCCCTGCAGTCCCTGTGATCCCTGCTGCGCACCATTTGAGGTAGGTGAAATAATTTCGATAGTTACAGAATGAGATTTTACAACTGTAGGTTTTGAGATCTCCAGATGTAAACCTTCATGACAACTTAAAAATCATTAAATGTTCTTCTCCTTTTCGTTCCTTTATATTTTAATACTTTAAAATCGAATATCTCCATGATGCTGTTTATATTTTCGGATGCTGAATAGTGTTCTCCAAAATGTTACAATGGTGCGCAATTAGATGCTATTCCCCAATGTGCCCCACGCATACCACCTCCATTACCCAAATGTATAACGGTCCAACAGCCCCCGCGTTTAATTTGTAAAAAGCGGGTAGTTTTTACTGAAAAAGTTATACCAGAACCTATGGTCGTTAATCGTTGTCGTCAAATAACTATCCCCAAAGTAGTCGACACTACGAGAGTGATAAAAGTGCCCAAGCTGACATGGGTCTCGCAAATGGTGCGAGAACCTAGAGTTATATATTATCCCTCGATGATACCAGATCCGTATGTTGTCTGCTATCCCAAACGTATTTGCGAACCGCGAGAAGTTTGTCAATCGATATTATGTCAGCCCAAACCACAGACATTAGATGTACCACCTCCCAGGGAATATTGTTGTTATCCAACGGGTCCGATTAATTATAAACCCAGTGCTGCTTGTCCTCCCTGTCCTATAGGACCTAATACACCCTGCGGTCCTTGTGGTCCCTTACCATGTTTTTCAACCAGCCAATATCCCTTGTGTGAGCCTTGCGGCCCGTGTGGTCCTTGTGTTCCAAATTGTGGACCTTGTGGCATGACCATGCCTTCTGGACCCTATGTTCCCACACCTTGTGGGCCCTCTGGACCTTGCGGGCCTTGTGGACCTTGTAAGCCTTGTTTTCCCGGTTGTCCTTTCGAAGCACCCGAATGCGGCCCTTGCTATCCATGTGCCCCCACTCCTTGGAATACTCAATGTGGTCCTTGTGGTCCCTGTGGCCCTCAGGTGCCTTGCGGTCCCTGTGGACCCAGTATGGGGCCTTGCAATCCCTGCGGACCAGCTTGCTAAACAATGTCTTCATATGTTTATAACTGCTCGAGGAATATTGTCAAGGTGAGTTGGAAGAGTGGTAGATTAAGCCTTGATTTGCTGCTCGTATCAAGGTGGCTGCTTCCTACCACCTTGACAATAACCGAGAGCCAAATCAAGCAGTGATCTTCCCTTTTTTTTGAAATAAAACGATTCCTTTCCTCTTTTTCTCTCTATTTATAGCCCAAACCCTGTCGTAGTCGTGAGCTACGCTGCGGCATTATGTATACAACTTGTGATTGCATCAAACGTAATGGTCTACAGGACAAATGTCCTCGAGCTTTATGTCAAGGTCGTTCTACTTGCATGTCTTTTCCCACTCCCGGCTGTTGTCCTGCCTCTTTTCCACTGCGTTATGCTAATCTTACGATGGGCGTTAAGAAACGACGTTGTGTTACATCATGTTCTCCACCACCACCTTATGGAAATTGTGATGCCCCCACTGCCTGTTGTGGTCCTTCGAATTCAGCTTGTGGTGCCCCCTCACCAATACCTTGCTCACCATCCCCCTTATGTTGTCCGCCTTTGCCCGAAGCCGGTATACCGGATCCAAGAATTTGGAATAGCTGTAATACACCGACCAGCTATCCATGTAAGTGGGAAAAATTTTAAATGTTTTAAGAATGTTTTAAATAGATTTTGTTGTTTTTTTTAAAGAATTTGTGAGGTTAGGTTTTAAAAAGTCTGGTATAACTTTTTCAGAATTTCAATAGAATTTAAAAATCTACATTGTTTTATATTCATTAAAATCGAATCTAAAGTCTAAGATATAGTCAAGTCTATAACCTAATCTGTAGTCTAGTATACAGTCTGGTTTATAGTCAAATCTATATACCATGCTATAGTCTAGTCTATAGTCTAGTATAGACTAGACAATGGTCTAGGTTATAGTCCAGTACATAGTCTAGCCTATAGTTATATCTATAGTCTAGTCTATAGTCATATCTATATACTAGTCTATAGTCTAGTCTAAAATGTTTGTAAATTTGTATACATTTGTTTAAACATCGGTGTTATGCGTGTGGTATTTGAGATAGAAACTTCAATTCTAAATTTTGGAATTGGTTTGAAATTACTTTAGGTGATCAACAGCAATTTTCTAATTCTACATGTAAGTTTTCAATTCTTTATTCATTTGAAATATTTCAAATCTTTACAAATTCTATAAAGGTTATACCATACTATGTCCGGCACGTTATTTGCCAAGAACAGGTGGTCCTTGTACATGGCCCTGTGCCTGCAAGGCCCATTGTTATGAAACAAAACCAAAGAGATGCTGTTGAGGTAGAGAAATTATAATAAAATTTTAAAAATTGACAAATTCTTTAAAAAATCAAGTAGGTGTTAAAAAAAAAACGTAGAATTCAATATTTGTTCATAAATTTTTGTTTTTTTTTTTCTCTAATTTCTTATTAATTTTCGATTTTACAGGTGGTTTTTGATATTGCCATCTATGGTTTGCAAATAAGGCAATTTTTACAGCAAAATGGGAAACAGAACAAAAAAAAATTAATAACATTTTGATAAAAATAATAAATTCTTCGTATATTAATATTTAAGTTTAAATATTTTGTATAAAAAAGTTTTCTTTTGTTTTTTTCTTTTTTTTTAATAAAGGTTTGGTGTAATATTCCTACTATATTAAAATTGGTTGAATTATTATAGCAAATTAAAATATTCAAATATATTAGATTTAAAAGATTAAAAAAATTCAAACAATTTCCAAACTGAACACGTTCTACGTTTGTTACAAACTCAAAATGTATGTAAAATGACAAAAGATATCAAATAAAGAATTTGCAAAAAATTGGCGCGAAAACATGCAACTGCGCGCAAAGAGTTGCAGAATTTGTTTGATGTCCCATTTAAAATACATTTGTTTGACGATATAGGAAACTCTGGTCTGTCAAACAGCAATGTATTTTTCGTATCTCGTATTTGCTACAAACACAAAGTGTTTGAAGTAAAAGCAGCGACTCGAATTAGTCGCTTAAACACGAAATCATTCACAATAGTCTTTATTAACTTATATACAAACACTTATCAACACTAAAAGCTCATGTCATGCTGCTCGTTAAATGTCAAACATAAACTGTCATTAATTTTTTTTTGTAGAAAAAACTTCATACCGAGAAATAGCAAATTATTTTTGCAGGTGTTGCCTTTTTTGTAAAAATTATTAAGAAAATTGAATAAATATCTGGTAAATTCTTACGCAAACAAAAGAAAACAACAAAATGGAACAAATGGATATGGAATTAAAAAAGGTAAGTGGCCCAAAAGGTTAAAAAATCCAGCAGGCAATAAAATGACTCACAGCCGCTGGGCCACCAAAAGAGGTCCATTGATTTGATACAAAATTTAACCATATTATTAAAACTCTACTTGCAGGCATTCACCGAAATGCAAATAAATAAAATAGAAACTACCAAGAAAATGAATATGATTGATATGAAGTGTGATATGGTAAAGACCGGTAAACAGAAATATCAATTGACCGAAAAGGGTACCAGTGATTTAACAGATGATACCAGGTAGTGTGTTTAATTATTACTGTATAAGCACAAATTTCCTTAACTTTTGCCTTTTTAGAGTATATTTATCCGTAGGCCGTATGTTTGTGTTAACCAGCGTCCAGGATATGCGTGGTGACTTAAAAGCTAAACAAGAGAAATGTGATAAGGCCATTGAATTGCTAAGCAAAAAGAAAGAATTTTTGGTGAAATCTCTTAAAGATCAAGAAGATGGCTTACGTGAATTGGTGCAACAACGTAAAGAAGCTGAAGCCGCCAAATAGACAAACGAAGCAAGCCATCATCAACATTCATTTTCATATTATTGTTTATTTTGCATTTAAGCTTTAAAAACAACTCAAAAAAAGATAAACACGTACTACATATATAATAATGATAAACCTACTTGCAATTAAAACAAAAAAACGAATACCACTTTTGTGTTTAAGAGAAAATTAAAACGTAATTTATGTTCTTTTTCTAAAAAATTGATTTTTGGTTTATTAACATTTTATAAAATCATCTAAATTGAAATTGGCATAGGAAACGAATTCATTGCCTAAGTTACGTTCATGTTCAGGTTGAAATTTACATTTATTTACCGGCAGGCTGGCAGTCAACCAGGGCTCCACGATCTCGCCGGAACAGAATATAATTTTTCCTTGAGGTTTTAAAAGATTTTTTATAATTTTCGATATTTTTGTTATACATTCCTCGGAGAGAAAGGGTGGATCTGCAATGATTACATCGAATTTATGCCAAAGTTCCTTAAGATAGTTTTCATTGTCGCCTTCGTTGAAATCGTAAAATACAAAATCATCTCCATAAGCTGAGAATCGTTTGTCGAATTCAAAAATTTTCACTGTAAAGAAATAGCTTTGTTTAAAGTCTTATGAGGTCATAGGTTCGATACGAATTTGTTAGAATTTAAAATTTCCTGTATTACAAATTTTAAATAAAAAAACTTTCTGTTTGCATCATTTAATAGTAAATCATTACTTTGTTTCAATACCATAAGATCTTATTGTTGTTCTGATTTGATTCAACTTAAACGAATAATCAAAAAGCCTTTTAAAAATTTGGGCAATCAAATACAAGCCTTCCCATGGCAAATGAATCTTCGGAACGACCTGATTTCCATCTATCTTTCTATTCATTTTAACTTGATTTCTTTTCAAAAACTTACCGTTTTCATGTATTTCCTTAACAGTAGCATATAAAGAGGGACTTGATAGTAAAGCTATACTATAGGCCGACTTATCTTGCACCTCTTCCAGTAATTGACTGACAGCAGAACCCAAAGACTTTTTAGTGCCAGCACTATACCAAAATTGGCTCAGTTGCTGCAATATATTAAAATTTAATCAAGTAACATAACTAACGCCTTATAAACATACCCAATCCTCCTCAAATTCTGCTTCTTTGCCAGCTTTTTGTTCAATCTTATCCAATTCCTCTTGCTCTCGTTGAGCCTTTTCAGCCAAAAATTGATTTAAAATGGCTAAAGTATCAGCCGGTAAAGAAATGTCATCGTCAATCATGTTAACAATAGTTTAATATACAAAATTTAATAAATATTAATAATTTTAAAGTAAAATTAACTAAATATAAACAAAAAAATTTGTTTATTTATTACTGCACGCTTAAAATTAACCTTAAAAATATAAACTTTGTTATTGTTTACTTTATTGTGAATTGTGGCCGCAAACAACTCTGTTTATTTTTATAGTTTGAAAAGCACTGCTGGATTATGACAATTACTTTTTTATTGACATTTCGCTATTGTGACTGTGAAAGTTTTTTTTTTTCTTACAATAAAATAGAAAACTGACGTGTGTGTGCGTAAATATTTTTTTCTTAAAACGCGGACGTAGTAATTTCAGTTTTTAATTAAATATACTTAAAGCGAAATCCTAGAAATTAATAATACTTTAATTTATTACCTAACAAAAAGACAAGTAAGTATGTTTTGTAACAAATATTTATTTATTGCTGAAAAGATATATTGAAATTTAATCAAAGGAATTTGCAATCAGTGGTTGTAGGTGCAATTTTTTTCTAATTATAAGCCAATAAATGTTGGAAAAATTGGCTTGTCTGTCGGCTAATCAGAAAATTTTGTGCATTTCAGTTGATTGGCGCACATTTTATAGTACTTTTTTTGTAGTCAGGTATTAAAATGTAAATAATTAAATAATTTAGGTCAATAAAAACAACAAACTTAATATAAATTAAACCTTAAATATAACTAATCTATAATAATGAGGTTAATGTTTTTGAGTAAAATGGCACAACCTGAAAGACAAAATTTAAGAGTCATTACTCTAGTTTGTGGCTTAAAAAAGTGAAATTTTTTATATTATTAGGTCAACGAACTTGGCTTTTTATGAATTTTGGTTAACAAATCATTGAAAATAGTAACATTTTCATAGCCCCTATACATAAACTTCCTATTTAAATCAAAACCCTTATTTTTTGTAGATTTAAATTAATTTAATTAAGACGCAGCCAACAACTTCCATTACTAACTTTTAAACATTTGAACTTTGGAGTTAAGCTTTTAATGTATACTTTGAATGTTATAGATTAGATTTATTGACTGTTGAAACATGCAATATTTTTGTATTTTAAAATATGCAATTTACACATCATTTATTAAG